CTTTTTCATTCTCAGATCTTTTTTTCTTCCATCGATATTCGATATATTTTTTTTGTTTAGTAATGTGATATTATTACTGTCACTTCTACACCGTTCATAATATTGATTGACATTAATTTTTAGCAAATTAAACGGATTAACATATATACTATGTCCTGCATTGTTTATATTTGTTTCACTTAAAACACCATTTGCAAGATAATGTCACTATTTAATAAGCATTAAATGCATTGATTACCGAAAGTGACTGGTAATATTATAGATTGTCTCTCTATCCGTGACATTTTTATTCTTGATTTTTCTAAAGCTGTTATAAGCTTGAGTGGTATTGGACATCATAGGATGGTATCCCCCAAATGCCCTGGTATGGCCGGAAGTGGGGTGGGCCCGCCCTCCCTCTCCAAATGCTCTCTTACGGCCACGCGTATACAGCCTCTGCCAAGGAAGTCCTACTCACTGACTTCTCGTGGCGGGGGTGTTGTCTAAGAAAATTAGAGGACGAAAAGCGAATGTCCGGCGCTTTAACCGGATCCCAAACCAATAGTGCATATGGGCTCCAGTATCATTAGGGAACAAATGGCGTATGAACCAACCTTGGTCACCGGCTACCATGGGACTGCATCTCCTCACTATGCTCCACTGCCTTGTGGGTTAGACTTTTAGGTCAAAGGCTCACAGCCCACACACAAATATGATGAAATGTCGATATTTATGGCAAATACTTGTCTTGCTTCGATTAACAATCAAACGATTCACATTATTAATATTATTATTATTATTATTTGCTACGTCATTTATTCACTCTCTTTTATTCCCACTTTATGTATATTTATTTTTCGACTTATACAGGAGCTCGCCTATGATGGAAACTCGGTTCTATCTAAACGTTTTCGAGTCACTGCCTAGTTGAAAATTGTATGCTACTACCAAATACGAATACTGAAGCAGTTTTTCTGAAACCACGTGCACCATTCAAACCGGCTTCCTTCGACGTTCGCACACTAATGCAGATCGGATAACAGATAGGGCTGGCTATGTCTTTAAAAAGTCTTAATGTCGACGTTTGTTGTCTATCCGAGACCCGTATTCAAGACTCTAGTGAAGTACTACAAATTCGCTCTCCAACTGTCGCTTCAAAAAGCTTGTTTTACGTGCGTTTATCCGGAGACCCTGTGGCACCTTCGTCTGGTCTTGCTGGCATTGATGTCGCACTAAGCGCTAGAGCTGAGGCAGCACTAATCGATTGGATCCTCATTAACAGTCGGTTGTGTGCTGTTAGATTAGAAAGTTCCATCAAAGTGAGAAGAAATTGGCGTGAGAAACGATGTCTTTTCGCCATCTCCGCCTACGCCCCGATAGATTGCAGCCCGGATGGAATCAAGGATGAATTCCACCACCAGTTAACTGTTCTTCTCCAGAAAGTGCGTTCGACAGATATTGTAGTACTAGCCGGAGACTTGAATGCTTAGGTCGGGCGTCTAGGCACAGAAGAGAGTCGTTTAGGTGGCCGATGGGGACTCGTTAATCGCAGGTCAGATAACGGGAACCGTCTACTGCAACTTTGCACAGACCACAACCTGTTTCTGGCTAGCACTAACTTTCGGCACAGTCATCGCCGATGTGTCACCTGGCGTCCTCCCTCTGCATCCCAAGCCTGGACTCAGATTGATCACATCGCGATCAGCTACCGCTGGCGTGGTTGTGTACAAGACTGCCGCTCCTTTTGGAGTACCTATCTGGACTCTGACCATGCCTTGGTCTGCGCCAATCATGCCTTACTTTTCAGTGGCCAACGAAGTGACCACCACCAAAAGATTGATGTTAGCAAGCTGGTTGCAACTTCTGTTGCAAATAAGTATCGAACCGAGCTAGCCTCTAGGCTAGCTACCACTCCACCGAAAAGTATAGATGAGCATTGGTTGCAATTGCGTGACGCCATGAAAATGGCGGGAACAGTCAGTTGTGGGTTTGCGAAACGTCCCGCTTTTAAGCACTGGGTTTCTTCTGGTTCCTTACAACTCATTGAAGCCCGTCGGTCTACTCCGGGTGACCGTGAGTTTGACCATAAACGAAGGATGTTACGTAAGGAAATTGGGCAAAACTTGCGTAAGGATCGAGAAACCTGGTGGTCGGAGCGTGCTAATGAGCTGGAAGCAGCGGCTGCATCTGATAACTACCGGAAGCTCTTCCAACTCATCGAAGCCACTGGCAGTAAGAAGTCTGGTGTGAGCGAAACAATCTGCGAGGATGAAGGTATGCCAATCACTAACATTCATCGACGTCTTGGACAATGGGCAGAATTTCTCGAAGAGCAGTTCAACTGGCCTGCTGCTCCGACAACATCGGTCAGACTGTCCTGTCCTCCATTGTCGGTGACGACTGACCCACCAAATGAGGCGGAAGTCCGCAAGGAACTCCAACTCTTGAAGTGCTACAAATCAAAGAGATTAATGCACGTATAGTGAAACCCAGAGAGGCTTATGCCAATCTGGGCCATCTTCGGCGCCTTCGTGATGTCAGTCTGGCTGTAAAAGGTCGGATCTACAACGCGTCGGTGAGAGCAGTTCTGCTCTATGCTTGTGAAACCTAGCCTCTCCGAGTTGAGGATATTAGACGACTCTGTGTTTGACCATCGTTGTCTCCGAAGGATTGCTGACATCCAGTGGCAACATCATGTCAGTAATGCAGAGGTTCGGCATCGTGTGTTCGGGCACAGAGATGATAATGCAATTAGTGTCATCATCTTGAAACGTCAACTTCGGTGGCTTGGACATGTTCTACAAATGTCGTCCCAGAGAATTCCACGCCGTGCATTATTTGCCGACTCTGGGACTGGTTGGAAAAAGCGGAGAGGTGGTCAGTGTATGACATGGTGTCGTGGTATGAAAGAAAGCTGCAAAGGACTGGCTTGTGTTGGTCCTTCACGACTCCCTGTCTGGGGTCTGAGAGATGGTGCAACATAGTGGCTAGAGACGTTATCAGATATGGCTCAGAATAGAAGCCAGTGACGATCCTGCTGTAACCTTCTTTTACTTTCTTCATAAAAAGTAGTTGTATGTTCCTTAACTGAAAGATTTATTCTTGTTGTACTTTTCTGTTTCCCGCATTATTATTATTATTATTATTATTATTACACTTCCTTACATTAATCTGGTCGTTATTGTTCTTCTTCTTTTTTTCTTTTACGCTCCTTACTTTTTTTCTCTCCCCATTCTCATTGTTTTCTGTGGCGCATACATATTTGGTGCCCCCTTGTACCAATATTTATGTGTTCAAATAAATAAATAGGATGGTTATCGCTCTCCCGTTCCCTACCCAGTGGATGGATACTTCTCTTTTGAGTGACCTATAAAAGACAATGGGTTGTGGAGGTCTTGTTTACGTTGGAATGTGACTCCTTAGTCCGAATGTTTCATCTTCTTAATTTCCAGATTTCACCTTGAGCACCGGAATGTGTATGACAAGATTTGGTATAATACTTTTAAGTCCGATCTTTTGTAATCCATCCTGTTGTACAGAGGCAATATCTCTGGAGATACTGAGTATCTTCAGAAAATACCCTGCCATCACATTTCGGTACATTTCCTAGCACGACTTAAACCTTAGAAATTAACGTAAAGTACAATGAAAATATCTTTTATAAAATTACCCATTATCATATAGTTGTTTCTGTCTGTCTTTTGAACTTTCATCCTACCAGTAATGATTCATCGTTTTTTAATAGTTTTCTTAAGCCTATCACCATTCAATCTTCTACTGAAAGAATTGTAATGAAAATCCTAACTGTTAAGTTTTATTATTAAAATAATTTTGTGGGTTAATTTATATCTCGGTTAGTACTGTTACATTGTTTGTATAAGTAGGTTATTCAAAGATTTTTTTCTTGCTTAGTTATTTTCTCATAGATTTTTCCAGTTTAAATTTTTATTGAACTATGAGTGAAATGTATATATACTTTAATTCTTACTAAATTTCTTACAATTAAATTAAATTTATGTGTAAATGATTGGATCTCATTAGGTCATCTGAATATTTGTGTGCTCTCCTGTGGAGTGGAAGCTTTTGTTTACGAGCGACTACATGTCAATTTCTTGTTTCTATTGATAATAGATTCTTCATACTAACACCTAATACATTTAAAGTAATCTATAATTATATGATTTCGTTACTATAGTAATCACATCTTAATTCTTCGTTAATACATGGGTAGTATTGTGTGGTAAAAAAGTATTTGAGGTGATTAGAGGTCGCTGACAGGAATCCCTTAACCTAGGTTTCGTGCTGTTCGGTACTCGTTGAAAAGGTGTTCCTGAAGTCTTGAGGGAACTGATACTCCTCGACGAATTAGACCCTGTATTTAAGGACGTCAGCATTGAGGTGTTTAAGTCTCAATTCATTGGCCAGTAAATAATAATCCACTGAATGCATTAATCTCCTTGCTGAAGAGCGCTAAATAGCATAAAACCTATGCTCATGGTTTTCCATCGGTTATCTCCAACTACCTAATATCTCAGTATAGTACATGCGATGTCAAGTTATTTATGTTAATGGCCACATTACAAGTTGGTCAGTATGATTCCATTAGCACTTGGAAAGAACTGACATACATGATGCTGTTCATTGATCAGTAACCAATCAGTCTAAATGTTTCTAGTATATTAGCTGCATCGTACTATTTGTCTAAATATATAATTTTGCTATTCGATAATAATTCTTGTTAAAACGCTTCACTATTGTGTGGGATTATTATCATAGAGTATTTAAGAGACTAAGTAGATTAATATCCTTTGTTAAGTCAGATGGGAAAATCGACTATACTTTTCACCATATTTTTAATTCTTAGATCATAGCCTTTTAGTTATTATCCTTTTCGTTTTTATTATTCATGAAATTGACGTATAATTGTATTTCACTCTTGAGTAATGAAAAATTCACTTAATTTCATTGACTCTGTCTTTTCACCCTTTTTTTCAAAAAAAATTGAACACATGGAATCTCAGTCATTGGAATTATTGACTAGATTTATTGGCCTTCCTACATCACTTGCTTGCGCACTGAGTTATTATATTCCAGAAAGTTTAAAAGCTTTATCAACTGACGATAAATTAAATCAAGGTTAGTAATTCAATTATTATTCATTTTAATTGAATGAATTTATTTCATTAATAATTGCATTTATGTATTGAAAAATGAAATATTCATGTAATATTATTATCATTAGTACAATTACATGTGACTTTAATTTGATTTTAACATCAATGTTTTTATCTTATGATCGAATGTTATTATTTGCATATCCATACATGTCATTCACTTACTAGTAATTGATATGATCCATGTTGATGAGGAATTCTTTGCATAACCTATTTTCACTTTAAATGAGTCCTTATAAAATAGGATATCGGAAAATACTCTCGATTGCTCTTATAATGATGATTGAAGTATTTAGTTCTAGATGATACTTTTGACACTTGCTTTTTTTAAAAAAATGAGCTGGGAGTTTTAGTAGGGCGTTGGTTATACACTTAAAGCACCTGACTTCCAATCATAGGTTGGATCTTTCTTCGTTTAATTCTTCTTCTACGACTGGTTTATGTGCGTCGTCTTCACACCTGAATTATGACTCATGGCTATATGCACGACTATTTACTGGGTGAGGTACAGTATAGTTAAAAAGTAGGTTTTTTGACTTGATCGATTTGTGTCTTTCGCAGTTAGATTTTCAGAGTTCATCATAGACATGTTCTCCAAGTTGTTTGTATTTATTACTGTTCTCTTCCTTCGCTTCTCTTTTTCTCTCTTTAAAGAAATTTCAATGCACAGTTCTTGCATAATTTATCATCTGGTCCTGTTCTATATAACTAATATTTACCTACTTTTCTAATTCATTTTAGTTCTCAACATAATTTTTGTATAACTCTGTTCCATGTTGGTTTCGTGTTAATATCTTAAGTTTTTATCATATCACTGTACTGAGGTATGGCGTCAGTAAGTTGTTTCCCTCAAATAATTAACGTCTGTAGGTATTCTATCTTCCTACAGCATATAAAGAGGTTAAGAAAAGAGTGAGTGTAAAATAAACCTACTTCACCCTGCCCCATTGATTTTTGTCCCAAGTAACTCATAAAAAACTACTCACCAGAAGTGTACGTGTGACCAGCCTCAAGTTGCCCCTTGAGCTTTGTGATTACTCTGCCTGGTCATCGAAACCACTATTAACCCAGTTCCTTTATCAAGTACCTCACGAATAAATATCATTGCATGCTGTTGGGATCTGAAAAGCGAAAACCATCTATACACGTTTTACAGCATTTAAGATATCCTTTTTTCGCATCTATTTTAAAATGTAATTCAATTTTAGCGTATTTGTTGTGTTTGATTGAGTTATATAGGAAATCATTTAACCAGGATTCATGAATTGTGACTTCAACACAATTACGACAAATGTTTAGACTTACTAGAAATTTAAAACAATCCACCTTGTCAATTAGTGATCGCCAGTTTGATGTTGGCAGTTCCAGAATCGGCATCTGAATAATATTTATTCGTTTCACTGCATATTACCAGCCACCTCGATTTCTCTGGTTGTACTCCTGCAACTTGTACAGTGAAAAGTTGTAAGCTTTTCATAAACATGCCTGAATAGGTTATACGATTTATCGACATAATGAAGTGTTAAAACCAACAAAAACAAATAATTCGTTGAAATATTTAGATGGCAGGAGTAGGTAGCCCAGATACTCAAGGTTTTATTTAATTTTAATGAACTCTTTCTTGTTTGATGCCTTACTGTTTAAGTGTAGCTTATCTTGAAGTTATTGAAGTTCACACATCTGTCTAGCACGACCTGCAGTCACACACACCCGTTACAACAATTGGCGACGGGGTAGAGAGAATTTTGAACCCTGTAATTGGACGAGATTCAGTATAATTGTTCTGACCAATCAGTATCCAGATTTTTCGTCGGCGTCCTTGGGAGTCATTGGTTGTTAGTTGATTACAGTATTTCTCATTACTCTGCTGATTCAGAAAATGACTATCCCCTCCGATCAATTGCAGATACTACTAGATCGTTACAGAGAGAGCCAGTTGAAAGTTTTGGACTATATGCGCACGCGACTGCTAAATCTCCCGTGTTTCGGAGATGTGAAAGAGGTTGACGGACTAATTTCTCACCTGCATACTGAACTCGAGAATGACTGCAGGACATATGAAGATGAAAACAAAAGCCTCTATGAATCCCTTATGATCAGTAATGCAAACGTGGCAGTCGCGCATGATCCGTCCAGAGATCCAGAATTGTCCAATCCAGAAACATGCCCTGTTGTGGGTTCAAATCCCACTGTGCCTGAAACATGTGAGGTATCCAGCTTACAAGAAGAACCTCTCGTGCCAGAAAATGGTTCCCGTGCATCAAATGATGGTCAGAAATCTAGTATAAATTCCAAAGATGCTGTTTGTTTTAGTGACCTATTATCCAGTGATCGCATTTTGAAGAGGTCTGAAGAATATGTTGCACAAAAATCAAACCTTAATGACCTCATGTCTGGTGTCGCTAATCCTCATCATCTAGTTAGTGAACCCTCTACTCAATGCGCGAAATATGCTTTAAATAGAGTCAGACTAACTGTTGCTTGGGTATATGAGGACCCAACGTTATTTCGCGGGGGAGGACGGACGCAGAAAATTTTAAAACGCAGATATGAACTCCGCATCTTTCGAAAAAGGGGAGGTGTTGGGATAGTCGGAAAAAGAGACCAATAATTACCATGTTAAGTTCAATGGTGTCCTTGAACCTTAAATGTACATTTCTTATTGGTCGATGTTTATTTCACTTGTTAAATATTGTACAAATGTTGTTTCCTATTTTATGGTACGATGTGGGTTGTTTGCTTGGTATATAAATAGAGTATGTGTGAAATACAATGATTCATAACTCAGAGGCTGTGACTTGCGTTCTTGACTCAACTGGCTAGGACAGACTGCGAAGCGGGACCAATCAGGGCACAAGGTCGTCCATACGTGTTTTCCGTGTCTACTGTAATCGATCGATATAACGCTGTCTAGCACGACTTGCAGTCACACACACCCGTTACAACAATTTCTAACCGTTTAATGATTTATAGTTACGGAATATTAAGTTTCATACATAATCTCGAGTTACTATCTGGGTACAGATAAAACAGAATAGCTGTATATATGAGTTTAAAAAATTGCGAGATCGATCTAGCTAACTGAATTTACAATTTTACTTTATATCAGAATTTTTTCGATACATTAATGGAATACAGCAATTAAGTTGGTATTATATCCTTGGAATCCACAAGATTTGAGTGTCGATTGCTATGGGAGCCTTTCAACCCACTTGTAATAAAACATTGTAGTAGCTAAACTGATTATTCTTACATATTGAACATTTATTTCATTCCACTCTACCAAACAGGTTAGATTTAATTACCTATAGGTTACTTAGTAGTTTTTAAAACTGCAGATTACTTACTCTGATGAGTACTATAAATGATAAAACCCCGATCGTTCCAAATTTCCGATCTAACATACAAATGATGAATTTTATATATAATCAATACTCATTTAATCCATTGTATTCTCTTTTCAGTTAACCGTAATCCTTCTCTCACCTCTCTGTTTGTGTTCATTTTTCCTGTTGCTGTGGTTAAAGTCATTTTTTGTGAATAAATAATTAGATTTTAGTCTATTTTCATTCATTTACTAAAATTATTGATTTTGAGACAAATTGTTAGGGAAATCTCCATGGATTTTTTAGTCTGATTTTATTGATCAGTAAAGATTTAAATTACAATGAATTTTAGTTGTCAACTTTTTGTAATGCCTAGTTCATTTTTATATCTTATAGAAATAACAACTGATCAATTGCTTACTGAATTATTTTTCTTTCTAAGAATAAATAACCAATCAGTCTGTTTGTCTGTTTAAATCATGTCGTCTTTTCTTCCATATACAATTATCCAGACGTAATTTAAGAATGTCACGGGTTCGGATAAAGTTTAATGGAATGAAATTAGTTTCAGTGACATTGAATATTCAGTTTTCACGCCTCTATTGTTATGAAGTGATTTATAGATTTTATAGGTGCATAAGAGAAAGAATACAACACAAATAAGTCATTATTTTCAATATGATTGCATCATTATGAACCAAGTTTTGCAAGTGACTAGTTGTAACTTGATTTCTTCTACCTCACTGATATCTCAGTTGGTTGATTTACAGTTTCATTATTGGCATGTTCGTGTTTTTTAATTGGTTGTTTTGTTTGAATTTAGTACAGTTCCATTCATTGAGCTACATGGCTTCATTGTGAAGTCTTCGTTGTCCCTCTAAACAATGGTTCTGTGCTATCTATATATAAGTAACATATATAACTTTTTTGTCAAAATGGAGTTTGAGTAAAACCACTAAACTATTACCACTACCAATAACTAGAATTTACTACTTATAACTTATGCAAACTGATGATGCACAATTACAGTTTATATTTTATAAAATTCATAACCTAAACTGTTATGTCTGATTTTTGTGGTGTATCGTTATTTATCAGGTGACTTACTGTATGTCTAACTGGATCAATTTTTAGGCCACTCAGAAATATTGCTTTTATTTCTATCCCAGATGCCTTCCTTTTTTTGACTTCATCCCTCTGCATTTTGCTTCGAAGATAATTTTAAACTTATGGAAATTAAAGTTATCATACTTTTTATATTTCGTGATTACATGCTAAACCTTTATCAAGTGTTGTAAAGAAATGTGATTTATGGTTGATAACTTAATAGGGTTAAAAGAGATAAGAATTTAAATGATTGATTACTATCCATAACGTTTGTCAATATTCTTCCAAAAACTTAGATACTCGTAATATATTATGATTAGTAATTCATTGTCTCCTTGTCAACACCATTTTCTAATATACTAACTTTAAAAACCCTTACATTTTGTGTTTATATAAATTGATGATACACTTAGAATATGTCCATTTTGTTTTCTGGGAAAAACGGTTGATCAATCATATTGTAAAAACACCTCAAAAAAGCTACATCTTTAAATTGAGGTGTTATCACTTTTTACAAATACTGAGTGTTTTTTCATGAAACAAACAAGACCCGTGTCTTGTACCTGATGTGACGGGGCAACAATAACTCTGATAGTTAAGTAATCATTCCATTTTTCCGAATGAATGACCTGTATTTTGTATATTCTCCAATCATTTATTAGTTTAAGGACTTTTAACTTTGTTTACTCTTATGTTCACCATTTTGCAAACATCTTAGTTTACTAAAAAAAGCGTGGTCTACCGATTAGCATTCTCTTCTTTGGTCTCAAAGCATTTGGAGTCTTACGTCGATATTTCGGTCTTGCGATCAACTATTAATTGGCCACTTCAGATTTTAGTATACTATAAATCGATTAACAATGAACTTATTCAGATAACAGTCCATAAACCAGCCCGTAAAATCTTCCTTTAAGTATTGTTTTGTATTATATCGTTCTCAGGTTCAACACAACGTTTTATCATCACTTATCGAGTCATAAAGAATATAGAAAGTTTATTGATCCACGTTGATATTCCCCCTAGTAAGACTGTGAAAATGTAAATTAAATAATTGTAAACAATTTCTAGTTGTTTCTTTTAAAGGGAGAAACATGATAAAATTGTTTTGACTAATCATATATATTATAATATTCAATTTTTACGTAATTTATACACCTTGTTGTTTGATTTGCATTGTTTTACGTTGGATTAGTTGTATTTCATAGATTTTGGTGGATGCGACTTGTACAGAACAGTTTATCTTGTGCAACAGAAATTAAATCATTAAATTATTGATTACATACAACTAATTTTGTGCCCTTAATGGTGTGTTACTTGACATTGCACTACCTGCCTATCAGTCATAAGATTAGTGTGATAATAAATTTTGTCTAAATCTCGTAAAAACTGCCTATCTTTTTTGATGTCCCCAAATATTCAAACATCAAACAAATCACATCGAGATACATTTTGCTATGTTGTTTCAAGTATAAATAACGTGATTGAATCCTGACAATCATATATTGTGTGGCGCTATTTGTGTATGAATTGTTTGTACTGTTTTTGACATGTACAGTACATTACCATTTAGTAGTTCGATAATATACATTGATGTGTCTTTAAAATTGATTTTAAATTAATCTTTCTCTCGGAAAATATTGGAATCCTCTATATCACATTTCATTGAGTATCGGTTTGAACTATTCGGCGTTAATGTTCTTGCAATGTTGTCCTGAATGACCCAGATACTTGTTCTTAAATCTCTTGGAAAGGTAATTTATGGTGTTTTCCGGACAACTAAGGGGGAAAATGCTTATTTTTAAATCTTATGGTTTGTACTCAAACATTTAACTGCCTCTATGAATAGGTCCTCAATATTTCTTTTGTTTTAGCTATTTGACTGCTATTTAGTTGTTTGTTCTTCACTTTGACACAAGTTTTAGATGACATTATTTAAACCTCCGAATCTAAATGTCTTTGGTTCAGTCCTCAAGCATGTTTATTGGACCTAGTGTTACGAAGTTAGAAACTGCGACAAACTAACTTCCTGGTTAATCTGTAAATACTGTTGTCAAACAATTACCATATGTTGAATTTTTAAACGCGTTTTGATCCTTCGTTTGTCTTTGTCTGAAACAGATTTAATAAATACTTTGTTTTTTCATAAATCTAATTTCATATTTTCTCCTTTGACTTACACCAAATTATGTGCCGTATATTCAGTTCATGGTAATAATAATCTAATTGTTCCAAGTTTTTTATTTCTCATCTTACTGATATAAGTTTGTGTTTGTAGATAAATAATTTATATAGCTGGAGAACTGTAAAATGTTTTTAATATATCAACTAATTTATGTCCTGTCACGGTAATATTGTGCAGAAATGTAATGAGAAGTGTAAGAGTTCTAAGTATGAAGCGATCATATAAACAATGAGCTTTATGTTATCTGTGAGAATAATTCATATAGACATCTTATGCGAACTCTTTGCAATCACTTTTTGAAGCATATTTTGTATAGTGTACCGTTTAAACCATCTTCAGGTAATATTGCTCAGCTTATTTCTTCTGAATGTCCTTATTTATACTGAATCGCCTTCAAGTTTCTTTTCAGGTCAAATAAAATTTTACTTTCTTTCCAAATTTTTCGGTTATTTTTCTTCATCTGTGTATAAATGTGTTTCAAATTCATCACTGTAACTACTGTGCCAGGTATTTTCGTTCCAGTATAAGTTTAATAAATTCAAAGACTGATTGGTTAAGTAATTTCCAAGTTGTGGTAATTGATAGTCCATTTAAATTTTTAAAAATAGACCTACTTTGTTCGACAGTTATAATCAGATAGATTCCTCAGAAATGATGGAGCTTTGTAGCTTAGGTGAAAACTTTTGTTTGAATTGTATTTTCTGTGCTGGATGAACGGATTTAGAAGTTTTTCATTTCTCTCGCTTTCTAAATCATGTCCTAGTTTCCCTGGTTCAATTTATTAAAGAAGTGAAATGGTGTTTATTTCGTTCACTATATATTTTCACAATTTAAAGCTCCTTATTTATTGAACATAACCAAATTACTAATATTTCTATTCTGCACTACATTACTCCCATACTAACTGTTTCAATCGTCCTTTATTGTGTAATTATCATTTTTTTAAAAATATTTATGCTATATATAATTGTGTTTATATTCCATAATCTGGCGGCATATCAATGTGCTACTATCTCGATAAATTGCTTTATACTTCCAATAATTGTTTGGTTCTTATTTGGACGCTGAAAATCTTTTTAATCTTCTGTTCATATTAACTACTTCATATTACATATATGCATATGCATTTAATCAATATTTGTGTTGCGTTTTTTTCTCATACCTTAAAACAGGTATGAAAATCTTTGGTATACATCATTATTGTTAAATAATTGTGAATTTGAGATATTGTATGTGAATTACACATTTCAGTTTATTGGAAATTCATTATCTGAACCACTATTTCAAAATCTCTTTATAATCAATGAAGTCTCTATTTTTCTTCGAAATTGTATTGTTTCTGTGAGGTTATTCCTATCCGTTATATGTAATATATAAGTGCAATTGTGCTTAATTTGCAGTTAGTAAAGGGTAATCTTTCAGATTTTCCGCTTGTTAATCATAACAAAGAGACAACCCCTATAAATGTATAGATGAGTATTTTAAATTTTATTGTGCTAGTGATCTGCAATGTCGATGTAATCAGGAGTATGCAACGCATGGTTGATCACTGAGATTGAATGGCGATTATTTAGTAACAAATAGACGAGTTAAAATCATGAACTATAGGATGTTAGGTTTATCGTCTAAACTTATCGTGCTGCATGATATATAAAAATCTTAACTTGGGACCCATTATCTTCTGAGTTCCATTTGATTTTTTAAAATTATTTTCCAGTTTATGACAGTTTTAGGCAATCAAAAACTTTTTTAACATCATATAAAATCTCATAGAATAATCACTTAAATATTTTGTTGTTTTTGGTATTTTTCATCTGTTCAATTTATTGGACGAGTCATTTTTGTTCAAATGTTTGACTTGTGCACTGTGGTTCTTTTCGCGGATAGTGAATTAAAATGATCCTAATACCGAATGAAGTACTCCATTTAATGTTTTTATCATATTTTACATCACTAACCCTCTGTTTTTTTACTTATTTCCACTGGTTTACTCAAATTCATTCACCATTTAACAGAAACTTTTACCAATACAAACGAATTTAGCTGACCTTGTAGTTCAAAAATATAAAACTATACAGAACCTGTCTAAAACACAGTTATATCATAAGATGCAGATTATTGAATATGAGTAGCAAAAGATTTGAAATATAGACTAATTTTTTGATTGCAAATAATGAATATATACACTTGGCATTTCTTTGCTATCAATCAATTACATGATAGATATATGTCGTAGGCCTAAACTCTTCTTGTAAAATTTATGTACTAAACGGAGTAGTCGGTTGGAATTTTACAACATAACACTTCATGCATCATTAAGTTACACAGTCTATATATTTTGTAGCTATTCCATGATTGGGAGCTGTCACTTTGTAGTTAATTAAATTTCCTCAATTAATTGTCCATTTTACTAAGTTTTTGGATTTTGTATTTTAGAAAAATTTATAATTTTCTTTTCCCAGAAAGTGTCAACATTGAACGTTAATGGTTAATTATTGTTTACCAATTCATTCAATTAAGTCAATAAATTTATTTTTAATAATAATTTAATTTTTTAACCTCCAACCTTTCAATTCCGCTGTAATAATCAATATCATGTAATAAATAGTTCCTATATAATTGCAATTATTGTTTTTTTTTTCTACTTCAAATTTATACCTTCACACCATTGACCTTTTTTGTTTGTGATTCCCATTGCATAAATCAATTATGTTTTTATTTATTTATTTGTTCTTAAATCTATCAATCAGCTGATATAAATGAGGCAAAACACCAAACCAATAATTAGAAGTATTGAGTATTTATGTGTATATATATGTGTGTAAACATGCACACATTTAGTTGCGTGTATATGTACAATTGTGTTTCATAATTATTGAATTTTTCTTTTTAACGTCAGAACATGTTGATTCATGATATTTATTTATTTATATTTTCTTGAATATTTATTTATTTCCTAATTAACATGATTGTATTTTCTATATGTTTATCTCTTTTAATTAAGTTTGCTTAGATCATTATTTATCATTGCTCAATTTATTGGAAACAAATACACTTAATATTGATACAATCAATTCTAATTTTCAACATGATCTATTCAAAGATGATATTGAAAATGTTCAATATATTCATAATTTAATTCAACAATTATTTAAAACAAATGAATTATTGGATGAATTCAATTCATTATTTACATCTATTACACAATTATTAAATCTTTATCTTAAAAAATCTTCAAATGAAAGAATTGGATTTGAAAAATATGATGATTTATGTCTTGTGATTAATATTTATCAATTGATTTATAACATATCTACTAATACTATTGTTACTAATAGTAGTCATTGTTATCATTCTAATTCAACTATCATCTCATCTAGTACTGGTGTCAACGTTGCCATTACTACTAGTGGATTAACATCAACAACTGGGATTATAACAAATCCTATTCAAAGTGATATTGTACAATCAAGTTATAATTCAAAAATACAAAACGGTTAGTGAAGTAATTTATGTTCCTTTCTTGTTAAATATAATAATAATGATTATTATTGGTTGAATCCCATGCAGTTGTACCATAAGGCTTTGCTCTACTTTTTAGAAATGTTCTTAATAAACAGAGATGAGTGGTTGCTAGCAATGGAATCTAGGACTAGCGTTTCGTACTATTTGGAACTCAACTGGATGTGCCTGAATCTTAGAGTCGATGGGTCTATCAGGATTTCGTAGCTAAGTAGATAATGCGGTGGCGTTTGGAGCGAACGGTACTAGGTTCGAGTCCTAGAGTGAACATTAACTCTGGGATGAAGCTGATGAGTCCTAAATAGGATGAAACGCTTGTTCTGGGTCCCACTGCTAACCACCATCCATCTCTGCTTATAATGCTTGTGACTTGCAATAATGTCGAGGCAATCCCCACAGGATGCATATACATCAATGAGAGACTAATAAATTTAACAGATTGAAATCATAAGTCAGTTGGAGCTAGACCACCATGGAAAACCTGGAAGCACTGGACGGCCGTTTCGTTGGATGCCGGCTCAGTGGTCTAATGGTTAAGTGCTCGCGCGCGAAGCCAGTAGGTCCTGGGTTCGAATCCCGCGGGGTGCGGGTTCGTGGATGCGCACTGCTGAGGAGTCCCATACTAGGACGAAACGGCCGTCCAGTGCTTCCAGGTTTTAAATGGTGGTCTAGCTTCAACTGACTCATGATTTCAATCTGTGAAAATTTCTAAAATCTCCACAAACCCCTTCTAATAATAAATTTAAGTCCTAAACACCAATAGGAAGATTCAAACATACAATACGCAATGAATTCTTGATAAGGTTTTTTGAATGTGTTCGTTAAATGGAATGTTTTTTTTCGAAAATAGTTTTAGTTTAATTACAAGTTAAGATCAAACTAATGTGGTGATAAATCCTTTTCGTTCATTGTCAACTATTCAACATTTTGACTTAGAGGTCTTCTGTTACCTTATTTTAAAGTACATGAACTGTGTGTTCTGTGTAAATCACATGGTTTTTGACGCTCATATTTTCATGCGTCCTTGGAAAACTACTGAATTTTGTTGAGTGATTTAATAAAATTGTTCTACTCGTATAATCAGTAAAATTCTGATATGTATGAGCTCAGTTATTTTGTTCAGCGAACTTTATTATTATCAACATTCCAAGATTATTTGAACAATGACATTATGTATAGAATTTTTTTGTCTCTCTTGCAAAGACCTTTCTGTTTTCTCGTTCACTACACTCTTAGCTGAGAATTGTTGAGATGTTGCAGTATTACTGTTGCTCTGTTATCCAATAATTATATTAGCTCAGCACTTGTTTAAACGCAAATACTCATTTTGTAAAACTACTTTCACAGCGATCATATTTGTATTTTCTAGTAAGAAAGGTTGATAACTAAATGAACTGGAGAGAAAAGCTAACAGAAAGTAATAAAATGAGTGCACCAAGAGTGTTTTTCATGTGTAGTGAATCCAAGCTTTTGATGTTCTTTAGATTCTAAACTGCAAACTCTATAGATTTCAACCAGATAGCATTTACTTGAACATATGGGTTTTTAAATAAATGAAGGGTTTGTAAATGATCACTATACCTTTATATAATAATCGGTTTGATGTCTCTTGATTCTAATTTTGATACTAGGTAAAGTCATACACTTAACCTAATCGAACATCCCTGTAACCTAATGTTTTCTGACAGTTGTTTTTTTATCAGCAAACGTTAGTTTGTGTTCAGCATCTGTAAAAACTGTAAAAGTTAATCATAAAAAATAATTTAAACTCTACATTGAAATTAATACTTCTTGATGCGTTCAATGGTATGAGCTTCGCGCCAGCCATGCATAGAGTAGTTCTAGAAAATTGGCCATAACTTGTGTTGTCCGTATATACACCTCTTATAAAACTTGAAAATAACTAGGAAGTTCATGCACATTTATACTCTTGTTATAGTGATATGTAAGTAATAGTGTTGTATATCATTATATTTTTGCCGTAGTTAGAAATATGATTCAGTCTGTAACTGTCACGAACTCAGGATAATTTCTACACATCAAATCCTCTCAAACTTCGTACCGATTGGCACTTACTAATACTGATACTATATGAAGAAATCTCAGTTTGATAAGAGGTTATTAATAAATATTCATTTCTCCAGTGAACTTCGGATACCGAGTTATATATATATATATATATATATATATATATTACAGAGCTTTCCTTTCACATAAATCACTAACCACACTAAATGTAAAAACATTATGGTAAATTTCATTGGTACAACTATTTTATTTCTTGTCGATAAATACAGATCGATATAACAAGAAATAGGTATTAGACAAAAAGATACCTTATTTCCACGCGCTCAATATTCTTCTTGATTAATAATAACATTATATATATATATATATATATATATATATATATATACAGCAGGATTAAAATTTTGCAACCGAAAAACTCAAGCCATTCATCTAAAAAAACCACGATAAACCATTTACTTTGCTAATCACTGCTAAAACTAAGAATCTATTCATCAGTCGATAAATTGAATAATATCAAGAAAGAAAAAGTAGATTGGGTGTCGATATATGTACACGTATGAGGGGAGGTTGTTTACATAACGATGTCTATGAATTATCTATGGAAATAACAAAATGATCTCCTAATTACACTTATATCTAATATTCAGCAATCCGGTTATAAACATTTATATCTATTCATAGATAGAATCACCAATTTATTAATTTATTTGAACACAAACCTCGGTATAAGGAAGCATCAAATATATACGCGCCACACTTCACCATTCGATTTGTATGTTTCTCTTTAATCTGATTAAAAACTATTGTTATTTGTGCTAATGCTTTGAAGTCATTTGACTTAAAATAACGATTCTGTAGACGTCTTAGTTTATTACGATATTTAGCTGGTAAACATAATTCGTAAGCTCACTAAACCTGTACCTTTTAAGAGGTACACAGAAATCTACCGACGAATTCCATCTGATCGTTAACTCTTTTTTAGATTACTGTGTACTTTTTAACTCTTCATTGTCTAACGCTGTTCCTGTTAGAAGTGGTGTAATAAAAGGTAGTGTCCTAGGCTCTTTTTAGTGTTTATTAATGATATTTGTGAAAGTTTTTGTGTGGGTAAGCCCCTTCTATATGCAGATGATCTTAAAGTAGTATATTCATTTTCTCTATATGAGCTGAAAAATATGCAAAATTGCATCAGCATGTAGCTTAACAAGGTAGCACAGTGGTGATTAAAATGACGACTGGAGCTCAATACGGCTAAATGTGGATGGATATGCTTCAGCGATACATCACTGAACCTAGACCTTACCATAAATGGAGAAGTGTTATCTAGGTTTCATACAGTAGTAGACTTAGGACTTAGATACTCCCAAGACTTGTCGTTTACAGAACAGATATTGAAACAGACCTCTAAGTCTAAACGTCTTGTAGGTTACATAACTCGAAACCTTCATAACAACGGGTCACGTATTTTCATGTACAAAGTTTGTGTTCAACCACTTGTAGAATATTGCACGTTTATCCTTAGCAGTGCGCGCATAAAGGATAAATTAAGGCTGGAATCAGTACAGAGACGATTTAAACTTCATATTCTTGGAGCTGATTGTACCTTAACTTATAATCCTAGATGTAATAAACTTGGGCTAGACCCTTTATGGAAGAGGAGACTCAAATTAAATCTTATCTTTTTCTTCAAACTACTTAGTAAACTATCCTTTACATCCCATCACGTGATTCAATATGCAGAAACTTTTCATTGTGACATCCGTATTTCCTTGACACTAGTAAAAAAAACTTATTCTAAATCATCTCTTTATATGAATTACATTACCTGTAAATTTTCTAGACTCTGGAATGACCTACCACAATCTATCCGTACGATAGAATCACTCCCATTATTTGTTCGCTGCATCGATGCATACTGCTCCTCTGAAAATGCATTGAATGCTCTAGCACCTGTAAGTGTATCTCATTCCACAAGTGATATTATAGAAACTTGAAATGTTTAGCCATTTTCATTTGTGCATTCCCTAAGTAAAACCACCTACTTGCTGTCACTTTATGTTAACACTGTCCCCAGCAAGTTTAACTAATATGAATAACATCAACAGTATATTACTGTGTCACATGACACATGCATTTTGGTAGACCTGATTGACATATTTTGGTAATTACTGCTTTGTTGTTCCGTGCTCTCTGTTTTCGTTTTAATTTCTCTAGTTGTAGATAATTATCATTAATGCGATCTGGCACACTCCATTCATAAATCAACAGGCTGTCCATTTAAGAAATATTAAAAACTCCCGGCTGATGCATTGGATCGCTGTAATACGTGTACTACTTTAAACAACTACTGAAATAGTATACTTAAAACTTTCTTCTGTGACATGTTTGTTCTCTACATCTAATGTTACTATTTATATCAAATTGATCATGCCTGTAAACTGGCGTGAATTCTGTAATTATTATTTTCAGAATACATGAATTATTATTATAATAGATAGAGATGATAGATGAAGGTTATACAGTATCGCCAGTTGACTGAAATTGGACATTTATACCGTTAGATACCGGCTTAATGATCTTGAGGTTAAGCGTTCGCGTGAGACGCGAAGCTATTTGTTCAATTCTCAGGTGGCGATTCGTGGATGTGTGCTGTGGAGAAATGCCGCACTAGGACGAGACGGCTATCCAGTGTTCGCAGGATTCCAATGGTAGTCTACCTGAGATTAGCTCACGATTGCCCTAGTACGGTCTAGAGTACAGAGAGGCACCTTTCTGGAAATCCTCTCATAATGCCACGCATATACAGACACTGTCAAGGAAGTCCTACTCAATGCCTTCTTGTGGCAGGGGTGTTATTTACGAAATTGAGAGGAACAAAAGTGAATGTCCGGTACTTCAACCGGGTCGGCGGATATGGAGGGTCCATCTAGGAGTGTTGGAAAACCCTGATTCTAAACCAACGGAGCAAATGGACTTCACGATCGTGAGGGAACAAATGGAGTATGAAGTTATTGTTAGTTACCGGCTACCATGGGACTACATCTCCTAACGTTGCTCCACTGGCTTGTGTATTAGACCTCTAGGTCAAAGGCTCGAGCAGTATTCGCCTAAGAGAACCACTCGATTCGGTTTGGGTGTCCGGATAGAATTTCATCCCTCATACAAATCGAATGGTGAAGTGTGGCGCGTATATATTTGATGCTTCCTTATACCGAGGTTTGTGTTCAAATAAATAAATTTTAATATCAATACTCGATAACTGGTCATATAATATATGTGGCCTATTTTTGTAGTTGATCGATAAAATTCGTTCAACTTAAAAGGATTAAAGAAACGTAACATTACTTACTTACAAGTGAGTATTCTGTTGGAAATATCTCAGTTTTACAGACGGTCAGTCATTGTCGAAATAGTGTATTGGTAACATTGCAGACTATGAATGTTCGTCACGCGGAGTCGGATTTCATAGAAAATATCAGTTTCTTCGTGATTATATGTATATTTTGTTTGTGATCTCCAGGTCCAAGTTTTCCTATCAACTATCTTCAACCACTGGGACGTTGAATCACTCACTTCAGCGATCGAATAGCAGCTTGATCAACAGAATTCGATAAATGCTGAAAGACCAGACAAACATATCATGTTGGTCACTACCCATTCATCAACCTATCGTAAATAATTCATCTTTAACAAGTCTTCGGTTATTATACTTTTTATTACAGGTATTCTAATGTTATTCACGACAATAGTAATTTAGTGAACGAAAACTCAGTTGGAGATAGCTAATTTTTTGTTTAATGCAAAATTACAGAGTGCTTTCGCAAAATATAAAAAAAATCCACATGCTTCATGATTCTTTCAATCCCTCTGTTATTACAATTACTTTCCGCCTGCAAGTGGTGCTACCTATTACTTATATCCGCCAACATAAATAGCATACACCACAGTGGTAATATTCTACATGTGTGTATATAGATTTCATGCTCTTGTTATTTTTCTATAATAATCAATACTCTTCTCAATTTTTCCGTTATTTTGTATGTGGATTTTTGTTTTTATTTAAATGTGTGTAAATTAGTTTATTTGTATTTGTTAATATTTCATTATTTGATTAATATTACTATCATTGATTTATGTATTATCTGTATATAGTTTCCATTGATAGCATCATTATGTAATAAATTTATATTTCTTCCCGTAGCTGTTGATACATTAAGATAGAATAAATGCTTGTCTGTTACTCTTGTGTAGTTTGTAAGTATAAATATATCAAGCATGAATATCATTGTATATTGTTTCCTTTCCTGTAATTAAAATACCTTGTATAAAGTTATTTATCGACTAGCCTATTCATTATATATATGGTATAAAGCTGTACGTACACTGCTCACTAATATATAGATAGGATTAGTGTTAAGCGATAGATTATTAAAATATACATTAGTCTTATCAGTTTCCTTTTATTCTTTATAAATTATTAGTATTCTCATAAGGATAAAGTATTTAAATGTGTTGTTTATAAGAGTCATTTCATTGTTTGTTTGGTTAATGCTTGAGATTATGTTTCATACTGGAATATTTATATGAACCAGTAGTCTTCATTAAAATTAGTGTTATTGAAAAATTCAGTGCAATGTTTAAAAACGCTAGTTATCTGGTATGTTTCACTGTCAATGTCCAATTTTAAATCAACATATAACTTCTTTTACTTCAATTAATATGAAGGGAAACAAGATTTCGCGGTTTGTTCAATAGCATTCATACCCTCAGAATACAAATATTTGAAATTTTATGTTTTTAAAAAGCGAATTCATAGACGATAATTGGATATTCCTGTTAACTTTATGGATTTGTTTGTTCATCCAATAAATAAGTGAATTGAGATCACAAAACTCTTATTAACATAATTTTGGATACCATAATCTTATCCCCTTTTAAATAAACCCTGTTTTTAGGGTGATACATATCTTCTATTCCTTTGCACTGTTCAGCACATTTGTAACTGTCCTTATACGTCATGTTCTTTATTTACATTAAGTCACGGAATGTCAGAAAAACAATTTTCTACTGATCGGGATATAACAAAAATATATTTTATAGCAGTTCACGTACAATTGAGTTTGTTTGTTGAAAGTATAGAGTGCAGAAGTCTCTTCATCTCCGTAGCTTGCTGCGTTGAGTTCGACGGCGGCGGGCTCACTACTTTAGTGACCCCGGATCTGACTCCAGTGAGTTCGTTTTTGATCGCTATTGAGATATATATATCATCAATCGTCGTATATAATTATCGACTTAGATCGCATTAGTGAGTAACGGAATTAAATAAGTCAAATACGAGGATGGATTTTCCAATACATATATTTTGTACAATCGTTGATCGGAAGAGATAATCAGAGAGACGTAGCGAAGGAAGTGAAGAAGAGAGGGTGAGACGACGCGCAGTGGAGAAGGCATATGAACCAATTCCCTTTTAACCAAGCGTTAATCAATAGTTATAGTCACACAAAACTAAGCTACAGACATGTGGTGAATGAGATAAGAAGGGCACACGTACGTTTACATAAAAACAATCACGGTTGATAAGTGGATAAATAATAAGGTCAAAATGTGACTCAAAGAGAATGAATAGATTGGCCCGTCCGAAATATGTATATGGGCTTAACGTAATAACTGACACCACAATTTTTTGTTAACTTTCTACTCAATGTTCAATTTAATCGAAACTGTCAAGTCTAACCTATGCATTAATACTATTGTTTTCAGGTTGTAAGCAGCTGAAAAGAATCTATGAATTAAACGAATTATTATCATTCTTACTTTATTAGAGTTTTTTAATCGAGAAAACATACCATGAAATTAAATTGTATTTTCATTTTATAAATCCTAAACAGTATTCCGCTTTTAAGTTAAATTATATTGTAATCTCATTCAATGACATTTTCATCGTCAGTCGATTATTCTGTTTGTTTCATTCAAGAATGCAGCGTAAGTTACTGTTGCCACCAAACATTTGGTCACCCTTCAAAGGTGTTTAATTATTCCTTTTTTTCATTCTCTTACAAATTGTACTCATAATTCAGTGTAAAATGTGTTCAGTTTAGTAAATAAAGTTCAAGCTTTTGTCCATAAAATAGAACATTGTTAGTTATGAAATAAAATTTATTGAACAGTTATTTGTCTCCTTAAAATGTTGGTTCAAATTATTATACAGTTGTGATTCTTCAGTGATATAAATTTTTGACATTTTTCATTTTACGAAACATGTATGTTTCATGCTTTCTGTTATCATCACCATAAATTATGATAGAGATCTATAGATCAATTCCAGTGTTCTTATTCCGTTTCTCATTATTTACAATCAAAGTAAGTATATTTGTATGTAGGACTAAATTAAATCTTTTTAAAACTTTCTAAACTGATATTTCCCGAATCTCTCATAATTGCGCAAATACACTATATTTTCCTTTTCATGTTGAGTTTTAAAACTATGTTATATTTTTGTATTTTAGTAATTTATCCTTTTATCTCGAATCAGATTGTCTGTACTCAGTCTTTTCCATTGGCGCTGATACACTCACCACTACTGCTACTGCTACAATTCCGATTCGCTGTGCTAATATGATGTAGCAACTTCATCTGATCCGCATGTATACCTAGTTCTAGATTGCGTATAACTAAATCAAACATTTCTTGTCTATCAGTTTTTGGTAATCAAGGATTTTTAAATAATTCATATTATACTACCCATTATTTTAATTAGATGTTTTCTTCTATTTGATTTTTAGGAGTTTTACGCAATTTAGTTCGTGCATCTGGCACTGTTGCTAAACCTGCAATACCAGCCCATCCAAGCAATCAACCTATTCCTGTTGTAAATCAATCTACTGTAGATCAATTAGTTAGCTCGCCTATTAGTTTAGTGAGTCATACAGAAACTATGATTGATGATAATAGTATTACCACTGCTGCTGCTGCTACCACTATTAGTAATATGAAATCTGATGTAGATACACATTCCACTGATTTTGATAAATTAAAATCTAATAATAATGTTGACAATTCTTTGATTTCTAGTAATAATACTATTAAAAATGTCTACAATGTAACCAATGATGGAACTAATGATTTATTAACTGATATTGCTCGTGTTGCATTCGATCGTAGTCATTCCACACCATGTAAAACTGTTATTAACAATGAGGATAAATTATTACAACAACAACAACAGCAAATAAACACTTCAACGAATGGTCATTATTATCTAAATAAGAAATATTCTAAATTAGACGTTGATAGTAACCCTGTTAATCAATCTACTACAACGACAGAAATAACTACAATATCTGACACCACTACTAATGCTATTGTTGACGATGATATCCAATCATTTAAGCGTAGCTCCCTATATGTCACATTAATAAGGTGAGTGCTTTTATTTCCTTATTTTTTTGTCTGTTGAGATCATAATTTCTGAACTATTTCTATTTTGGCATGTGATATGTACAATATGACTGATAACCTAATTCGTGAAATAATACGGCTTTGTTTTGATGTAGATCATATGCTCTTTTTTAATCACATTAAGATAATATATTGGCATATCTCCATTTGGTCTGTTTTTACATGTCCCATCTTGATTGATCAGTTGTTGATTGCTGAGATAGTGTGACTAGTTTAATCAGTCAGTAACAACGCATAACTTCGTACGTACGTATATTAGTGATTCACATATCTTATTCCGGAGAAATTACTATTCTTTACACAGGTTTGACCAAGCAGGAAGTCATCAGTATCTATTAGTTCGAAGCCTCATACTGAAAATTCAACTTTTCCACGTTTTCTCATCTATAATTATTCATAATAAATAGAATATGATTACAATTTACACCAGAATGATCAATCGAGTAATCCAGATTTTTCGGCAAAAAGTCTGAGTGAAACAAAAGAAGTAGAGGTTGTAAAATAAACACATATTGGGTGTGTCAGTCATCAGTAACAACGTAGAACTTCGTACGTACGTACATCAGTTCGAGTTGCCACACCACATTAGCACAGAGATGCAGTTGTCGACTCAAATCCCGTAGTGGTAGAGGTAGCAAGAGTATAAGCAGTAATCTGAAAGACTAGGGTTTTAAGATATTATTCAAGAAGTACAATACAATCAAATAAATTTGGGAAGAGAAAAAGAAGAGACAATGAGAATTTAGGAAACTAGAATTTGGGAGAACACAGAGAGTGGATGCACCTGCGCCATTGCAAACGATTTTGAGCCATGTCATTCAGGGTCTCTAACCATCGGTTGCTATCATCTCGCGGTCCCCAACCAGATAGTCTACACCTACCAACATGACTCAGTCCACTTGTTAGTGACTTCATAGATTTGTGCCATGTTTTTATTTGACTGCCCCTAGCTTTTTTCCAACCTACTCCTACACTAGAAAACATCCCACTTCGGGGCAGTCGGTGGTTAGGCATATGTAACACGTGTCCCAGCCATCTCAACTGATGAAGTTTCACTACGTCATCAATTGTTTTGCCATCCTTACCTAGTACCCGTTTCCTAACAACTACATTACTTACTCGATGGTCCCAGGATATACGAGCAATACTTCGAAGACACCTATGATCAAATACTAGTAACCTACGAATATTCTCTACTCTTACCGGCCATTTTTCACTGCCATAAAGTAGGACGGAACGAACTGCTGCTCAGTAAACACGTCCTTTGGTTGATAGACGGATATCTCGTCTACGCCATAAATGACGCAAGTTGGCAAAAGCTAGTCGAGCCTTCTGTATCCGTGCTGAGATTTCATCACACACCAGACCACAAGGGCTGATGAGACTTCCCAGATAAGTGAATCGGTCGTCACGCTCAATTACTTCACTCCCTATCATTAGTTCGGGTGTCAATGCAACCCAATCCTGAAGCAACATTTTGCATTTCGGGGATGAGAATCGCATCCCGAACATGCTTGCATTGTTGCTTAGGGTGGTCAGAAGACTCTGCATTTTGTCAGCATCTTCACCAAATAGAACTATGTAATCGGCATATTCCAAGTCAACAAGTGAATCTTCCAGTAGAAGTTCAACCCCTGTAAATTTAGATGAGGAAAGTGTTATCTCTAAAAGTACGTCAACGACAAAGTTAAACCAGAATGCAGAGAGTGGACAACCCTGATGAACACCACTTGAGGTAATCAATTCTAACGACAGTTCGCCTACATGACATACCATAATCTATTCATTATGAAAAGCAATGTTTTATAATTTTCTGAAAACTTTCAGAATCTCTTCCATTTTCACTTGATATTGATCTTCATCTTGTAGATCAGTGTACTAAAGTTTGTTCTCAATCTTAGCTAAGCAGAGGTGATTCTGTAAAACACCTATTCTTATGTTCTTTGCTGAAAAATGACTGTGGTCCGCACAAACGTGATGGAATGAAAATCCAGAAGTATTATCACTGTTTTACGTGGTTTACTTTTCTTATTACAAGCTTTTAATTCACTATGTCTAACGATTTCATTTCCCATTAGAAAACTAGCATACTTCCTACACATAGTGATTATCATGCATTTTCTCTTTGTTACCGTCAATCCTGAAACAGAGTTCAAATTGAGCTAACTGCATACTTAACTATGACATAAATAACTAAATTATATATTAAGGCATCATATTCATTGGTTTACAAAGTCTAACCTAATTCTCACACAACTTCTAGACTATTGGGTGAGCATCTAACCTCTTATAGGTTGTCAGTGGTGCTTTAAGCTAGATCGATCCATGATTTCAATGATGGCTAACAGTCTTCACAACAGATAATGGTTAGGCGAATATTGTCGTCCTGTTGAAGTGCTCTACTCTTTCGTCACTTGTCTTCTTGTCTTTCCCGGTAGTACTAAACCTAATCCTTGTTAAACTCCATTTTAATGACACCACTTATCTCCTCTTTGTGTTTGATTTCCTTATACTTCGTTTCGTTAACTAAGAACAACAGAGCTGTAAGTATAAAACCAACAATGATAAAAATTAATGCGTGTTAACAAAATATATTTTATCCCTCATTTAAAAATATTAGCGTGTCCCGAATGAAACGAGTTGATCCCATAACATTTTCACTTTTAAGTACTAAATAGAATTATCTAAGATAAAAAATGTAGAGAGATCTAATACTTAGCGCATATAGCTCGTGTTTTTGTCACTGTAGAAGTTGGTTATGAACTTTTGGCTTGTTAGGCTTATACTCCCTCATTTCCACAAATTTATGTTCTGTTATTTCTCATTTCTATTTATTTTAGCGCCCAACTCCTTGTCTTTCAAGTAAACTGCATCGATTGGCAGTCTGTCACAACCAAATAATCCATTAAAACGTCGTAAGTGTGTGTCCCACCATTTGTTTCAGTCTTTTTAATTTATCGTCCCGCTCACAATCAACAGTCATAATCTCATATATTCAAACTGGAATCTACATGTGTTTATCCTTATGCATTTGACTAGCCTAACGAGATCTAATTATTTAGTTATTCTGATTATTTGGTTATCATACTTGTTTTCCCCTTAGTAACTGAACGTAAGTGACCTCTCCATTCTAATTACATGAAATTATTATTTACATAATTGATAATCCTTGAAGTTCCTATTGTCTCAGCTAGCATTCCAGTTACTCTTGCTTCAAAGTTAAAGATAAAAGTATAGATTTATGTCCTTAAAAAGTCAAAACTTACTTTAGTCATTTTCTGCCAATATTAGTTAAAAGATTTTGGCAGTCATGTTACCTCTAAACTAAAATCAAAGAATTTGTATACACAAACATGCATTCACCTGCTTGGCTAAATCGATCCACAAGTGATGTTCGTACATCAGTTTTATGTCTGTAACTGTGAGTTCGTGTATCTGAAATAGCAATAATGCATTCATAGTTATTAATAACAATTAACAGGTATGAAAATTGAATAAAAGTATATCGTTGCCTAGTAATCGATTCCCTACGATGTTTAACTCTGTTACAACATCAAACCATGTAAGTTAGTGTTAGCCTTTCGAATTCTGTCGTAAAAACTCACTCGGTATTAAGTATTAGACATCATCGTGATAATGCTAGTAAATTTGTATTTAAAACTAAGTCTATCTTACTATGATATAAGAACTTTCGTCTAAATTTGATCAAAGAGTTTCACAGTATCTGGGATCCGAGTTGATGTGAAACAATAAGGAGTATTTGTAAAATCTCAGCGAATGGATTTGAGGTAAACCCAACGTTTCACCTAGCAATCTGGTCCAAGCTTTTTCAAGGAAATATAATCAAACATCAAAATTATCGAATATTCTATAAAAACTACATATGTTATTCATATTTTTTCGTAAGGCGCATTGTGGAGATGCTCGTTGACTTTTCTTTTATGAAAGAAATTATTTATAACAACAGTGGTGTTTCCCTTGTCTGCCCTCATAATAACAACTTTCCTGTCTTTTATTAACTGTTTTGGAGCATACATTTCTTCTTTAGATAGATTAATGGCATTCGGTTTTTGTCTTAATAATGCAGCTGAAATTTTACACCTCACTACGTTCGCTTGATCATTCGATACATTGTTTAAATCAGGCTCTATCAATAATAATAATTTCAGAAGCTAACAGTCGTGGTCTGAAATCGAGACCTTTTTAAGTAGTGATAGTTCATGTTAATTTAAAAGTCTGTCAGATAGATTCACTATTATTTACAAATATATTCTTCCTCCTTAATATCTTATTATGAGTTCATATCATTGTCTTATATTTCATTAGTCTTTCCGTTGTTGTGAATTTGGTGATCATTGTGTATGCTTTTAGTGGTCGACATAGTTAGACAATGTATTTATTTAGTGTTTATTCTAATATCTACTTCAAATTGACAGCTAGACAGACGTGTTATTAGCCGTCATATGATAAGTTTATCTTTGATACTGTCCACAGTTTGTTAACCTAATTCCTTAGTAGGACCAATCAGATAACTAGTCAATTCTATTACTGCTTTCTGAGCTAAAAACATTTTTATTAAATTACAGGCAGTTATCTACGGAAAGATATTTTTGAACAAGTCTATATTTCCTATGTTTTCTAATTGATGCCTGTATAACTGTCCTACTCTAATTTACTTTACATCTTATCTCATATATCTAGTAACCTTTAAAGATATTACATTCATGGTATCACCTTGGTATCGGAATTCAAACTAGCAACACAATAACAGGATGAGGCTTAGGTATTCCTCTACGTCCTAGCCCAGCTAACTAGAGGAAGAAAACCAGTATTGCAGGGAAAATATTCCACAAGCAAATCGGAAGAACAAATAACAAACATTCAACTCATGAGTAACATATACAATACGAAAATGTCGTTGATAAGCGTCACACAATAGCTCACTAAAAAAAGAAACGAACTAATGACGTTTAATATCCAGGCAGGAAATAAAAACTGAAGAAAATAACGGGTACTTTTTGGCGCGAAAACAAATTCTTATTTCCATAATTAAGTCACAAAAATAAGTTTACCGAGTGATTCCTAGTGATCTAGCATCCTCAACAAACTATTTGTAAAAATCTATTGATTTCCCACGAAAACTAACTTAATCTTGAAGATTGTTCATCTTATTCGTTAGTGTAGTATGTTATTTTTGTGTTTTTTCATGTGTTTTTTTGATCTAGTTGGAACAAAGTCACCTCGAGTGAATTCTGTCACTAATGTTAATCTTTCACAAGTCACTCTGCCTTCATTACGATCAGAGTTTGAAAAGCGTAAACGTTCAATGTCCACTGTGACGGCTGCAGATGTAGATCAAATTTCAAAAATCCATGATGAGTAAGATTAATTTTTATTTAGTACCTTTAATTATACCTACGTTTTGGGTTAGTTTTTTCAGCTTTGTAGATTATCCGAATTGAATGATAAAATATAAACTTGAACATTTCATAGCATAGACCTATGTACTAGTCGATTTTTCTCTTTGGATAATTGCTTTAAATGTAATGAAGCTCAGTCTATATCATTTTGAATAACTGCACTTTACTTTGATATGCATTCTGTATCTTTCAAAAGTAAAATCCTACTTTACATTTGGCTTGTAATAATACCTATAAATGATATAGTTACATGCATTGACTACTTCAGTTATTTTACGTCCAGTCAGTCCAGTCCTGGTTGGTTAGAGTCTAATTAAATCATGACATTGATGCAAATACCTTCTATAATTTCTACACATTACGTTTATTAAACGTATGTTTGCTTATCAAAAGCGTATACACTGCGCAATATACCGTCTTCTGTGACATTAATGATGTGAAACATAACGTTTTAAAATAGCTAGTATGAGTGGATTGGAGTTACTCAGCCATACCACCATTCATTACGTCTGTTTGAACTACAGGAAGATCAATGTTAGTATCCAGCCGAGACTATTAGATAAAAATGATGAATTGTCAAATAAGTCTGTAAACTTTCACGTTTAGCGATGTCCCACGTAGGGGATCGTGGGTGCACACTGCTGAGGGATCCCATACTAGGATGAAACGGCCATCCAGTGCTTCCAGGTTTCCCATGATGGTCTAGCTTCAATTGACTCATGAATTCAACTGCTAAATTACTATAATATCCACAAAAGTGTTTTTAATCAGGTACTCTACTAAAATTTTACTATGAACATTCCAGTAATCATCATAATAACAACACGTGGAAATGTATACTAATTAGGTACATTAATCAATAAAAATATTCTCTTTTTACTATTCTGTGTTTATTATTATTCAGGAGAAAAAAAACAAAAATAAAATGAGCGCGCATTCTCTCTTTCTCATGCGTGTACATACATATACAGATCACATGTTCTACTTGGTATTTTTTTTTCTGAACCATTTCTTTTCTTGATTAGATCATATGGTTTGGAGAGAAATATGTTATAGAACTTTGAGTAAAATTTCACATCAGTCATCATTTATAATAAATAAATAAATAAAAAAACATAAAGAAGCAAAGTTATAGATTGTGTATTTACAAATGTGTCCTTTTTTTAAATTTCTTCTACAAAATCGTTAACACTTGAAAATATAAAAAATTTTCTTGGCAATTATTACCTTTTTTTCTGATTACAAAAAAATCAATAATCATATAATAGGTAACTTTGTTTAATTTATTTGATCCCTAAAACATGACAGTAACTATGTGAATAGTTTTATTAATTTATTTTAAAGATATTCACAATATAAATTTAATATGAATACAGAAAACTGATTATTGAAATCATTCATCAATTGTATTAAAATAAATAAGATATAACTTAACTGGGTTTTTGTTTTCTTCTTTCAAAAATGTCAAATCCTTATAAATAAGTTAGTATAAACACGTTTTCAACTAAATCAATAAACTAGTTACCATTATTAATAATGATTTTTAAGTTTGACTGATCTCTAATTATAAAACTAAGATCTTGAGATTATTATTTTTTTAATCTGATATCTTTGTTAGTAGTTCGTTCACTATGCTGATATGATAATTAGATTTTATCAGGGAATAAAAAATTATCCAAATGTTCACTAATTATTTGATGTTATTATAAAAATCTATTATGTAGCAAGATTGAAATTATTGACATATGAACTTTTGGGTTTTATAATCAGTTATAAATTATAAGATGGATGTATGTATGACTTGGCACAAATTATGCAGCTAACCTAATTGCCATATCCCATATCAATGGGAAGAAGAAAATAGAATAAAATATAAAAACAAAACAATAAAGTGATAAGGGATAGTAAAAGTTTGAAATATAAAATATAGGTAGTAAAAAAGAATGAAACCAGAATGTATAGTGTTGTCCAGCACTGTGTATCAATATATACCACTGACTTCACATGGATAACATAATTACAGTCTCTTAATCATATTCATCGTTTTACTATGAACCAATCACTAAACATCTTCAACCCCTTGATCGAGGTTACTGTTCAAACCATAAATTAATAAGGCTATTTGTTGTGAATATTTAAAGAATCAGTTAAACTAATGATCTTTATCATATCACATTCAATACAGTTCATTAATTTTTTGGAATTTTTTTTCTTAACAATAATCTATTCATACGTTTTCCCAAAACTAATGCAAAATATTCACTGAAGTGTAAAAATGTCAAATGAGTAATCGATTATTTCAATTGAACACTGAAAATTATTTCAGTGTATAATTTTCAAACCAATAGAATATTGAACGCGCCAATATACGTTAGGTTAAGTGTGTATTCAATGGTTATAGATGATTGATTTCAAAGTGAAATGTTATGGTTTCTTGAATTAGGCTACACAGTGTACAATTGAAGTAGTGATATATTAGTTAGTCATGTATTCTCAAGCATTAGGTTGTAGGTTCTGAACCTCGCTCCATATATTTCCCTTTGAAAGCTTCATAGTATCGTTAGCTCTCACACAAAAATGGTTCCTCGAACACAGGTGTATAAACCTTTGCGTGGTAAATAAAAATCGGTTTGTTTCGCATTTTATTTACCACAATACTTGGATGGGACTAGTTTTGAGTTTCGGTAGTTTTTATCCAATCTCGTATAAATGAATTATTGTCAGAAATTTTTTCCGATGGTTCACTCGGCGGCGAAGTGGAAATACTTCGAAAAATCCCTATCGTGAATTATTATCAACGTACATTTAAGATCAGTAAATGAGATTATTCAACAGCCCACTGCCTCCAAAATGAATGGCGTCTCAATCCTGATCTACAATCCACTTATCACTCACATAATGGTCGATTTGGTCCTATTTTCCAATCACCTTTTTAAAATAACTAAAGTATTTTTGGTTCGATCTATAACCTTTACAAATATTCTTCATCATTCCTACCAACATTTGTTTCATCAAAATAACTCCTTGATTGTTCATTTTAGTCAAGTTTTTATTTCCAGTTGATAGTTTTCATAATAATTAGTTTTATTATTTTAGACTTAGTGACCAAAATATTTAACCGTCACCCCCCTCATCAATTTATTCATCCAAGTAGTTACGTCATGGTTTTTCTTTTGTTTAATGTGGTAATATATAAATTTAGCTTGTATAAATATAGAAAGTAATTATAGGTATTCTTCACTTGTGGACTAATGGACTTAATGTATATTACAACTAATTAAATTACATTTGTAATGCACCTTATTTGTTTGTACAAATTAATGTAACATTTAGATCATATGGAATGGAATAAATCTCTAACCTGCAATGTCTCTTGTTCTTGCTTTACAAAGTTTATTTATTAGCAGAACTAATCACATGAAAGAATTTAAGTGATTTTTTTTCTTTGCAATGAACACAGAAACATGATGTAGAGTCGAACTACTAATATTCATACAATCAAATTAATTGTTGCGCTCTCTGTGAACACTGAATTATTCAGCGGGAAAAAAGTGACTTCACTCGTTACATTTTCCGCTTATAAATAATTGTTACCTGACAATATGATCAACGTTACTAAAATCTGTCAAATCAAACGTTAGGGATAATTTAATTTCTAGTGATTGGGTTTATCCTGTTGTTGATATTTTGACAGGATTTCAGTCAATTTTTTGGTGTGTGTATCCGATGCGAATTGCTTCGATATTGCTTTTATTCCTTAAGTTTGGATAGGATACATGGAATATTGCTAGTAGTGGAATTCAAGACGCGCGTTTCGTCCTATATGAGACTCGTCGGCTGGACGTACCTGCACCCCAGAGTTTATGTTCACTCTGCGTTTCAAACCAAATAACTTCCAATTCAAATCCCTATCGCGTTATTCAATTATCTCCACTTAAATGTTCATCGGATATCATTTTTAATTTAATTTCAGTTAAAGTATAAACAAAGGGATAATCCAAACCATTTCATATTGAATTGAATCTCATACCCGTTGCACAAATAGCTTCCAAAACTAAGTAGGTACGGGGATAACACAATAGCTTTTGAAAAACACATTACTTTGTTCTGGTGTTGTAATAAGCATTAACTTTGGTATGCTGATACACCCATCCAACGAGTCCCAAACAGAAAGAAGCACACATGTTGGATCCAGTTCTACCAGCATTTAATCTGTTTCACGTTAAAGCGTTAAGCATACTATCTTTTAATTTTTAATTACTGAGAACTTGTTTTATTTGTTAAATAACAGACTTTTTTAAATAATTAGTTAATTAATGTATAATTGTCGTTGTTCTAATTAGTCTAGTTGCATATTCATCGTATTATCATTATTATGATTACTCTTAGTTTACCTCTAGGAACGAAAACTTGGAAAGATTCTGGGGCAGCACGTTCTCATGCACATAAAATTAATGATGCTGTTAACACTGAAGACAATATCATTTCATCTAGTAGTACTAAATCTGATCAAGAGGCTACAATGATTGGACGTGCAGCAGCTTTAAGACTATCATTGGACCAACGAAGACGAGCTATTGAAGTATCCAGACAACGTGAACGTCTAGCTAGCACCAAAGCTGCTGCTGAAAGAAATAATGCAGCATTTGTTAAACTTCTTCAAAAACAGGTAAATATTCATATTTTAAGGTAATGGTTGGAGGTAGTCGACACTAAGCCATCCAGGTCATGACTGACTTCCTCTAGGGCTGAGATATATTTATGATAAATTTATCAATCTATTGGTTGATCTTTGCTGGATTTTTAGTTAGTCTTAAGAGTGGTATAAAAACGACGTTACGCTGATATTGATTTTAGCAATGCTTTCTGTAAGCCTTATTTTATCAGAAAATACCTCCAATCACTGTCTTGTAAGGTGCAATTATAGAGAAACTATTTATTTTGCGAAAAAGATTATTGTTTGACATTTTGCTTATTTTTTGTAGCTACCAATCACTCAAACAATGGAACTTTCAATTCTCAATCTGATATTCTACTCATTCAAATACCTAGTCTTTTCGTAAACCTATCTGTCCCAGATTTTCTCTAATTATTTGTTGAAATCAAAATGTTTATTCACCTCAAAAAGTTTGTCAAAAGTGCCTAGAGCAATCGTTTATATTTGTCAATAATCTTACTACTGAATATTCTTTTTTACCTGTGTTAATTTATCAAAGAAGTAGTGTAAATCCGTGTACTTACGTAAGAACATATGATATCCATTGTGTTGTTGATTACTACTAAACATGAAATTTGAAATTCTATGAATATAAGGATTTTTTGAGGAAGGTTACTTGTTTCAACCTGATTTTTCAAAACTAACTGATATCGTTTGAAGATCAGTTAAATGCTGGGTATGTAAGACATCTGTTTTGTTCGAATCATTGAATTTGTGTGAGGGCTGTAATACTGTCCGGACGCTCAAACCAAAACAGGTGGCTTTCTTAGGCGACCACTCCCCGAGCCTTTAACCTAGAGGTCTAATCCACGAGACAGTGGAGCAACGTCAGGAGATGCAGTTCCATAATAGCCAGTGACCAACAATAACTTCATACTCCATTTATTTCCTCACGGCTCTGTAGTTCATGTACTCATTGGTTTGGAATCAGGGTTTCCAAACTCTCCTAGATGGATCCTCCATATCCACTGACCCGGTTAAAGTGCCGGACATTCACTTTTGTTCCTCTCAATTCCGTAAATTACACCCCTGCCACGGGAAGGCAGTGAATAGGACTTCCTTGACAGTGTCTGTATATGCGTGGCCATGTGTTAGGATTTCTAGAGGAAGACCTGACTCTCCCCACCCTTGGTCGTACCAGAGCATCTTTTACAATAATAACGTACGATTTCGTCAACGATACGAAATCGAAACCATCATTTATAGTGGAAATATCAATTCCTTTTTTACCATTAATTATTTGAAAATCCCTAATATTTTCTTTTAAAACTATTCTAATGAACTATGCAAGTATTTTCCATGTAAGTGTCATTACCAAGGTCCGACTTCATAATTTCAAATAACTTGAACATTAGGTAGAATGGGATATTACAAATTTTCTACTTTTTATTTTCCATATTGTTAATCGTAATTTATTTTACAATTGTTATTATTCAGTGTTGTTAATCTCATTTATGTTGTATTATCAATCTAATAGTTCCATCAGCGTCAAAGTATTTCAAGTGGACAGTCTCAACTATCGAATGGTGGTACAGTATCGGAGAATGAAAATTCATCTAGTTCTTTGCCTATCAAATTAAAAGAATCAGAAAAATACAATTTTAGTTGCATTGATTCAGAAGGTGCTCATTTCACAACGGATAAAGATGAAATGACAGTATCTGGTTCTAATGTTGAACATGCTACAGACTTAGATGAAGATTTCTCAATGAATTCTTCATCCACAATGCCAAATATTAGTGAGGTCAATAGTTGGATTCATATGTTGTGTTTTTACTCTTCTTATCTTATAATAATAAAATGTTTATGATATTATGCAATTGTAAAATCCAATAATATGATCTTTTCACATCACAAACGTACTTTTTAGACAACCATTTAAAATCTGGAAGCGCTGGGTGGCTGTTTCGATATCGTCCAGGAGTGCCTAACCACGACCTCTCCTGTCCACATAGGACAATGGCGGATATTTGCCTAATATCACAAATCGCTTGAATTAAGATGTGTACACCGTTGGACTCAGTCAGTCAGGTACAACGTAGGACCAGGCACATATATGCACACATCATTAGCACAACAAAATGAACACCGAATTCATAAAAGTAGTTAATTCAATGGTGGTAATGTTTAAAAGCAAGGTTGTGTATAAGGATATAATACAGGAAGAAAGAATTCGTTCGAAGAAAGAAAGATTTAAAGCAATTTTAATCTCATAGTTTAAAGGAAGACAGAGAGTGTATACACCGACGTCACTGCAATCGATTCTGAGCCATTTCAATTACAGTCTCCAACCATTTGTTATGATAGTCACACGGACCCCAACCAAGTAGTCTGCACCTACCAACATGACTCAGTCCAGAGGTTGGTGACTTCAAGCACTGATACCATGTTTTGGTTTTGCCGATCCTAACTTTCTTCCAACCGTCTCCAACTCTTGTCAGCAATGCGCGTCGTGGTAATCGGCGTTCAGGCATACGTAACATGTAGCCCAACCATCTCAGTCGGTGGAGAGTTGCAACCTCATCAACTGATTTATTACCATTCTCTAAGACCTTGCGTCTAACCTCACTATTACTTACCCGATGATCCCAGCAAACGCCAGCAATATTTCTAAGGCATCTGTGGTCAAATACTAGTAGCTTACGAGTATCTTCTACTCTTAATGACCATTGCTGCTCTCTTGACGTGGTGGTCGGGCTTGCCTATCGTGATGAACCAATCGAGCTATACTGGCTGGAACAATCGTTCGTCAAGGTTCTAACATGCCAGACAGGTCGTTTGAAGAGTGGTAAGACTAAAAGCAGTAAACACAAGGTCCGAGGGCGAAGTCGTACTGATGACTGTACGTAGATACGACAGCAGTAAGGTGTTTCCTTCAGACAACCAGCATAACAGCGATGCTGCCTTCCCGGAAAAGAAGGGTGGGGCTAGAAAAGGTCGACCCTAAAAATTCGCACCTCGCCTTATCCCACGGATATCCGTCTCTGGCGGTAATGTCCCAACAAGTACGGAGCTAGCACAAAAATTACTCACAAAAAGGTCGTGTATGACCGACCTCAAGCAGTTGTCTTTCGGGCACTGCAGTCAGGCTCTCAGGTCACTAAGACCACCTCTAATCTGAATTCCTTTTCGGGTGCCTCCGGAAGAACCGTTTCACGGTGTGGGCAATCGGGGAGTGATAACCGCCCTAATTCCTCTAACAGCACTCAAGATCACTGTATTCATAATGGATCTCCCCACATTGTTGGATTCCAATACAGTGGTTTTGCGCTCATGGTTCTACACCTTACAGGATTTCGATACTTAAACAAAATGTGCTTCCAAGTTTTTTGTTGGTTCCCTAACATAGGTTCGTTCGTGATCTCAATAGCATTAAACAATTTCCACAGCCCCCGTAGTGATTTAGTTAGATTTTTAAGTGAATCACGGTCGTAATTGTGGTAAACTTCATCTTCCTATAACACTATACGAATTTCATGTAATATAATATCGAACAAAAACAATAATCGGTTTACATTTTTATTTGTATTAATTGTTTTATTATATAATTTATATGTCTATTCTCTACACTCTGTACAAATGTCAAATATTAGTTGTCATGCATGTCAGATATAAACATATTGCTGTGCATCTTTTCCTGATCCGAACAAATTGATTAGAAAACTCTTCATTTCACTCTTAAGTGAATACATTGACCCCCCTTCATGTTACTACAAAATTTATTTAACTTATTCTTCAAACTACCGTGGTCAACTGAATATCGGAAGATTTTCGTCTCTTATGTTGTTCGTTTAATATAATTGTAGTTATTATCATAAATAATCGATTTCGAAATTTACATAACCACGATTTTTCCCTTATATAACTGAATTACAAGTTTATCATTATATAACTTTAACTTATGAACGGTAAAAGGTGTAACTATAGCCAGTATATCTTACAAATTGCAGAATACAGAAATATCTAACATATACATATTCATTATATGTATATTTATATACCGGTTCACTAATTTCTACATTCGAATTTAATAAATATACTCGTCTTTTCATTATAAAACCCAAAGAATATTATCATCTCGTATGAATAGAGATGATATGAGTAGTATGTATCATTAATTGAAAGTGAAATACCTGGCGACAGAAGATTAAAAAGATCGAAGAACGAGAACAGAGAATGATTGATGTGAAAACGAAGGAACAATAAAGTCTGAGAAAATCGACAGATATTTTGCAAATGAAATTTTTACTGTATGGTTCTCAGAATGTACTAAGAGATTCTGTAATTTTGTGTCCAATTACATTCGATTATCCCCACTTGTGTTCTTGTTCACTACATTACTACTTCATATCGGTTAAATTTGCATACAGTATTAGTAATTTTTTTGAAAATTGCCATCTGCATATTGTAAAGATGTTTAAGTAGTCCGTGTTTAATACCTGAAATTTCATTATTTCCCGTCATTCCATTTACTTGTTATAGCCTTTACACGATTCTACTGTATTAATGGAAACCAGTGATACGATTGGATTGGTTGACAATACCACTAACATATTCGCAAATGATTCAAAAACATCAATCCCTCCTTGTTCTAAATCTCCACAGATATATCACGATAGAACTCAGTCGAATGATCATTCTGATCTGACTGTCGAACCTACTACTGCTCATATAAACAATCATTGTGATCCACCTTATCAGGGATTCGACCAAAATACATCTGTAACAAATCGGCGATCGGATAGTGGAGAATCAAACTATGCTACATCTAATGTTTCTTATCCTCATATGATCACTTTAGATCCATCCAAACCTTATCAAACATTACCCATCAGCATAAACGTGATTCTAAAAGACCAAAGTCTAGATTTAGTGAAAGAGAGTCTACTCCTCAACCTGAGTTATTTACAGAAGTTAATTATCACTATGCTCCTCCTCAATATTCTCAAACTCATAAAGGGTCGAGACAGCGAGGTTATGCAGATAAAACGTATCCAGGATTTCTGGCATCATCAACAAGTGATTACAATGAACATCGTCTTGTTTTAGTTGATTCATTTCATGGTGTTCAGTCTCCTTTTAGACATCGCCATACCAACCATAAAAACTATCCTTATGATATTCCTTCACAAAGTCCTGTTGATGAGCGACCACTTCCCCACAAACATATATCTCAACGGTATCATCGCTCTCATAATGTCCCGAATCAAATGATGCTCAGCAGCAGTTATCGTGAATGTAGCTCAAATGAAGCAAGTTCAGAAACGGATGATGATGACGAAGATGATTACTCCATCCGAACATATGATGATCATTCTTACCCATATTTCAATCGAATGTCTTATTCTGGTCGATTCTCTCATCGATCATTATCTAGATTGCCGAAATCCCATTCAAAGTAAGTGTAATCAGATTTATAGTGCAAGTGGACTATTTTACTCAGTTCGTGTGTTTCTTCCATTAACCTGATAGTTACCTAGGTCTCAAGTTTTCTGACGATTATCTTCAAACATCTGATATAAAATAATATGATTCATTTATCGAGTACTGGTTTACCTGTTTGACTTTTCGTCACAACACTTCTTATAGTGGTATTGATACAACCTCATCATCTAATTCCAAATAGCTGGACAGGGATGCAAACCTAAGAATTAATATTTAAAAGCCAGGTACTTTAAGCACTCAACCACCGAAAACTTATCAAATATAGTTCTTTGGAACTTTACGTTCCTTACTATAGCATGATCACATGTAATCATGACCAGTATAAACCATTACACTGGTTACCAACAAGTGGCTGGCTAGTCCAAGCATTTTGTGAGCTATTTTGTAAGATGGTAGTTGGAGGTAGTCGACAAGAAACCTTGGTTGACCTAGGTTTCGTACTGTGTGGCACTCATCAACGAGGTTCACCTGTAATCCTGAAAGAGCTGATGTTCTTTATCGAATTCAATCCAATATCACCTAGCTCCGTGACCACAGAATTCACTACTGAACCATCCGTTCCACGACTAACCTCCTGTGGGACTGAAATGTGTTCACAATTGATTGATCACTGAGTAATGACCAGTGCCTTATATGTCCAGTCCTTAGCGCTGATCAAACTATATCGATCGAATTGTAATATTACCTACTGTTATGACGGGACGAATATTGTAGTAGTCAAAACTGGTTTTTTGACCTATTATTGATCATAATTTTGTTGTATAATTAGTATACAACTAAACTGCAATGTGTATATATTCCGTTTATCATAAGTTTTCGATCAACCCTTTAAATTTAGTGATAGGATTTACTGTTTCTAATTTGTCCCTAGTCGTTCAGTTACAGCCACGTTAGACTTGTTCATGCATAATTTTTATTTCTTACTTTATGATGTGATTCGGTCCAGTATGTCTGTGTATAAACCACATGTTTCGAAAAATATAGTAGGGGCTGGTTGCCACTTCTAGACTTAAGACTGGTTATAGAGAGGAGGTTGCGAATAACGGACCAAGAGAAGTTTGACTATCAGCTCAAAATCAATAGTGCTGATCAGATGTACAGTTGACTAAGTCAAAGAGATCAATCTATAGAGTAAATAATAGATGCACTTATAATTAGTATTGTGATTGGTGTCCGAGGACGTGATACTGGTCATCAGATTTTCAAGACATAACACTCACTAACCGAGGTTACTCAACTTCTCGCGTACTATGTTGTGATGTTAGGTGGTTGCAGGTCCTCGACAGATAACTCGCATAAAGCATCATTTCCCTCAAGACTACAGGTAACCTTGCTGACGAACACTAAATAGCACAAAACTTTGGTCAAACCGGGTTTCCCATTGATTTCTTCCTATCACTACCTTACATCTGGACATTGTTCACGCAATATCGAGTTACCTCGATTAGTGAGCCACATTGCAACTTGGTCGATAGAGTTTGATCTACATTAAGAACTTAACATACATGCCTTCAGTCACTACTCAATGATCAGTCAATTGTAAATACTCTATTTTACCCATTTTCAGCAAACATTTTCGGATATATCACCAACTGTTGAGTTTCAAAAATGGAATTTTACATTTGTTATTCAGAATTTTTAGTTTCACTAAAACTAGGAAGATATACTACATCGCCAACTTGACATGTTGGTTTAGAATTGTTGACTGAATTTATAAATTAAACAGTTTCTGGACATACGTGTAATCATCAATTCGAGTTGATACATTATATTAAATTTTTGTGCATACACTGTAAATTTATTCAAAAAATATACTTAACTTACTCTAACCGCCTTTTGATCAGAACAACTTACTTACTTACGCCTGTTACTTCTAATGGAGGATAGGCCGCCGACCAGCATTCTCCAACCCACTCTGTCCTGGGCCTTTTTTTCTAGTTGCATCCAATTCTTGTTCATTTTTCTCATATCCATCTCCATTTCTCGGCGTAATGTGTTCTTTAGTCTTCCTCTTTTCCTTTGGCCTTGAGGATTCCATGTGAGGGCTTGTCTTGTGACACAGTTGGGTGCTTTCTTCAATGTGTGTCCTATCCACTTTCAGCGCAGGAGCATAAAGTATGTGTTGGAGGTGGGATTCGAACCCACGCCCAAATCGTGGGCCAGAACTTGAGTCTGAGCAGAACAACGCATATAAGCAAACAATAATGTTTCCAATTAGGTCGTCATCAGGCTTTGCCCGAATACACATGAATATTCATATGGGTATATGAAAATATTAAACTAATCAAAGTATTTTGTGAATCAGTAACCGCAATGAAATAGATTGCATAACCACATGTAATAGATAAAAAGTAAAAATTGACAGTAAGAAGGCAGGTGTTTTAGTAATGATAAGACTATTATAATAAACAATGTTTTATTCAATAGTTCAACATAGAAAGTAAGTCAGAAATGGATAAATAGACTTTAGAATAACAATTACGAAACACCACTAAAATTATGTAATATTAAGACAGTTCCCTTACAAATTAGACATAAATTTATCTGTTTATGCCATTTTCCTGAATGATAGTGCCTCATATCATATATCTTTCTTTCATTGTTGCGTAGAAATGTCCATAACAATAAAATGTATGGAGAAAAATAGTCATTGTCTTTATATTGGTTGATGATGCTCTATTGGTTAAGTCTTTTCGACGTAGAAATTTGAAAACAAATTACATATTCAATTTAAATCAAGATGCTAAATTTTTCTTTCAATTAAGTACTATTCTTTACTTTTCATTCTTTATTTCTATAAAAAGAAATACGTGTCAAATAACTACTGGTCAAATGTTATTTCACAAAGTTTCTTTGAGATCATAAATCAGCTTTCTTTCTTACACGAAAATGAAACTTTATTTACGAATGCTGTTCTAAACTAAACGATGACGTTGAATGCTAAAATCGTCTAACTTCGTGTTTGTGCAGCATTCATTGCAAATTTCTAACTTCTGCGTAGTTACCTGAATGATAATAGTTTGTTTACTTATTCATTTTACGAATTTCACAGTTAATTCTATTGAAGGTGTTATGTTCTCTAAGCTGAATGGAATTACGTACTAATGTTATTGTTCAGTGAAAGCTTCGTAACCAATCCATTCAGCTCAGAGATCAAAACACGTCTAATATCCTCATCCTGATCTACAAATATCTTATGGTTAAATTCATATTGTGAACACTTATTTTGTAGAAACAGATATAGATCGAATGGTCGTAAATCATCAGAATATGGATATGAATTAGGTGAATCAGAGAGTAGAACTCATTCTCCAGCTCCTTCTTACGCTTCATCTCGCGGAGTAGTCAGTTCACGTGGACATAAAGTTGATATAAATTCAATAGTTGGTGGAAATAATCGCCCATCTGTTACATCTGTTGTTGATAACGTTACATTAGATCAAATTAATCGGAATATGTCTGATTTACGTTCGGATTTTGAACGTCTTTCTATGCAACAACAAGTGCTGTTAGCTTCATCATCTGCGACAACAGCAGCTGCTTTAATGGCAAGTAGTTTTCAACAGCAACACCAACAATATCAACCACAACAATCATCAACACCACTGACAATAAGTCAATTATCTCATACACAAGCATTATCCACATCCATATCTAATATATCTACAACACGTGCTACATGGAGTGATAGACCTATTGTTCGTGATTTAATTGTACAACATAATGTTCATTCATCAACAGATAATAATCATTCAGTAACAGTAGATGATTTTGTTGAACATAATCAAATTAATACAGATGAACCAGTTGTTATTAAAGCTGACAGTCATAATATGGTCGCTTTCAATGAACCTGTAAGTTGTACTGTGTTTTAATTATTTTTCATTTCGTAGTTTTTCTAGTCGTTATATAACCATTTAATGAGATATCGGTGTGGCTTTGAGGACTCTTTAATTTACCTTGGATTTAAAGTAGAGATTTTCACACATATATATCTTCAACTGGTCTCTGTTATTATCGATTAAGAATCTTCCTACACAATTCTATGATAAGCTGAAGTATCTGACATTACATAGTCTTTATTGTTGCGTAGAAATAAACGGCTAACCTCTTGATCTAGCTAGTATTTACATTTCATTATATTTTCCATGAACACCACAAAAATGTCTTTTGTCATTCATTTTCTAACTGCTAAGTCTCATGTCCAAATTTTAATTCGCCGACTTTAGTTTTGGACAGCCTCTTGAGATCAATTACCTTCACATCCATTATGTAGGCACCCGGGCAGTGTCACAGCTATCACACAAATAAATGATAACTGATACTGGCCTGATTGTTATTGTGTGGCGCATATATATTTGGTGCCCCCTTATACCATTGTTTATGCGTTCAAATAAATAAAATGTGGGATATTGCGCCATTACTCCTGATAGTTGATAAGTCGTGTAGGTTGAACGCTATATACGAATTTTAAGCTAGTCCCGTAACCCGCAAACTAGAACTACACAGCGACTTGAACTCCAGAAAGAAGACACAAGTATGAGAGAAAACGCTTTATCCCAAGGTTCATTCTAGTACAGGAAATCAAGGGTATTTATAGATGTTGGCGTCTGTTAAATCAACATCTTATTTCAGCCAATCCGTTAACGTCATATTGTGCTGCCGACCAATGGTAGCACGCCACGCTGGAATTGTCGAACGTTCCATCATGCTCTGATTGGCTAGGGCCCTTCGGCTCCTTTCTGGGCCTATGGAGGCTCCGTTGAAGTTCTCCGGAAGCCGACCCAACAATAGTAACTAGTATTTATTTCCAAAAGTATGTTGATTAGCTCTTCTCTGTTTGAAACATGGTTGTATTACTGCAGTAAATGTCATGCAAATGTAATTATTTTTCTTTGATATATAAACTTTTGAGGTCTTAACGAAGAAATTTATGATACTACTCCATTGTTTTCTCTTCAATGTTGTTAGTAAAGCAGTTTCACTTCTCAGAATTTACAATCCATTACACGAAACTGTACTTTATCGTTGTATTTTGGAGTAATCTAATTTATTATGCACAACTAATATTCTAATGTTATAATGATTGTAAACGTTTGTGCTATTTTTAGTCCTACAGTGGTAAACCTCAAGAGTGTTCAGTGTCTGCTAATAATGTTGCCGACTTATCGAACTCATCAACTGCACCATTAAATCCTTCACCTGTAGAAAATAGTCAGAAACATATGAAGTCTCCTGTAGTCAAAGCCCCAAATGTCAGTCCAGAAGGAAAACTTTTCTTTATTGGCTTCGAAGAACCAGATCCAGAGGTAAGATTCTGTTTATAAATTTGTCTTTTGATACTTTTAATATTTCTCAAGTTATTTGATTGAATTCTATGTTTTTCACCCTAATTCAATCTTCTGTTTCAATTATTTTTGATATTAAGTCATTAGTTTGAGATAATCCTGGAAATGGCACTTTGCTAAATATCCATTCAGAACCTCAACATTAAACGTTGGTTTCAAGCTTGAATATCTGGGCTATCTGTTCTTGTCATCTAGATATTTCAACAAGTTATCTGTTTCCTTGTTAATTAATTACACAACCTATTCGGGTGTGTTTGCGAAAAGTTGACTATCTTTCTCAGTACAAGTTACAAAAATGTACAATCGGAAACAACTTGATTACTGACAAGATGGATTGAAAAGAATGAACATTATTCAGATGTTGATTTCTGAAATGCTAACATCTAACTGGGGATCGCTCAACATTTATCGTCAATATAGATCAAGAAATAAGAAACGGAAACTCGCTGAAACACTTTGTGCTGAGAATTCTATATTGTACCTAAAGTATAATATTGAATAAAGCCAATAATAATAATATTTTGTTGAACGTATTCGATGCTCTGTTTTTTAATTTCATAATATGTGAATGCTCATGATTGAGAAACTTTACCACTATAAGAATTCAATGCCGTTTCTTCATAAAATCTATACAAATGTATATCTTAAACTTGTACAATATCTCTTGGTTGTTTTATTTTAAAATCATTTCCACTTCTCACCTATAGACGTCCATGAATGCTGTGTATTTATAAATCAGATAATATTTGTCTATTCTTATTCAAATCTCAATATGTTGTTAACTTTAAATTATTATCTCTTTTTTCTCTGGTTCAGCAGTTGATTTTTATATTTTAGTTAATTGATTTTATTATTTATTCTCTAGTCATAACTTTCGGTCTCTGGATTATATCTATCTTTTTTAACATAAATAATCCTTGAGAAGAATCATCTCTCAGTTTTCTGAAAGCCTTATGTATCTGAACTTCTAATCGTTTCAGTTTCTTCTTTGACCTGCACTAACTTTAGATATTGTTATTGAGCTCTCTGAAATAAGATAAATTTTTCTTTCTAGATTCCATTACCAGTTAACATGAAATAAACTAAACAATGGTTTGGTAATCCAAACATGACTGTAAATAATCAGGTAAAGATTTCAAACACCACTTCACACCCACCTTAGTTTAGGCAGCCGGGTTATATCACCAGCTCTCACATAAATGTAACTTAAAGCTTTTTACTGGTTTATTAAATTATATTCACTAAATAAAGTATTGTAACAATCAGATGAACTGTCGATTTTCGGCACAAAAATTCTATCTTATTTTTGTGTGATACAGTTTATTAAATGATTCATGTGGTTAACCAACCATTGTTTTAAACGACATCGCATTAACTTGAGATTTTCTAGCAGACATACTTTTTCTAAATGATGACAATCACGTTGCTAAATGGTATATATACATATATAGCACAATTTTGTCTTTACTTATATTAATTATCAATTCCAAATTATATACTTCATTGTATAGCGAATGCAGCGTACCAAGGATAGATTAGAAGCTCGTCGAGCTACAGAGAGAGCTATGGTTGCTGAACAACTGGAAGCATTACGTACTACTGGCCGTAAAGAGAAAGAAGCAGCTGACCGTGCACAATTTGAACGGAAACTAAATGAGAAAGAAAGACGTGAAGCTGTACTACAAGCACATTTATCCAAGAAAGAAGTAAGTGATATTTTATATTTCGTAAAGTAGTTAAATATTAAAAATACTCGGTTTTCAACTATTTATCTTCGATTTCAAAATTGCCACTACTATTTTTTTTCCAGTCAATGGATTGTATCACTAACATCTATTCAAATTATTATTATTATCTCAACACATAAATATTGGTACAAGAGGGCACCAAATATATATGCGCCACACCATATTTATGCGTGTGTGTGGGCTGTGATACTGCCCGGGTGCCCAGACCTAAGCAGATGGTTTCCCTAGGGGGCCACACCCCGAGCCTTTGACTCAAAGATCTGATCCACAAGGCAGTGGAGCATCGTGAGGAGATGCATTCCCATGGTAGCCGGTGCCCAACGATTGGTTCATACGCCATTTGTTCCCTCAGGATACTGGAGCCCATGTGCACCATTGATTTGGGATCCGGTTAAAGCGCCGGACATTCCCTTTTCTTCCTCTCATTTTCGTAAACTACACCCCCGCCACGAGAAGGCAGTGAGTCGGACTTCCCTGGCAGAGGCTATATACGCGTGGCCGTGTGAGAGTATTTCGAGAGGGAGGGCGGGCCCACCTCACTCTCGGCCATACCAGGGCATTTGGGGGCATCTATTCAAAAGCATAACTAGAAACCGAGTACATTAAGCAGTTTCTTGTTGTTAAGTTTTATTTAAAACATGTTTTTTTTGAAATGTTTTAACTGCATTACAAAATAATTTATATACTTCTTTAGTTATTCGTTTACTTAAAACTTTCTAGCTGTTTGTCTACTTTGAGAAACTGTTTATATGAACTGCTCAGTTAAACTCAATGTAAATAATTTCAATTATTCTCATTTTAAGAGAGAAAAAGAAACGCTTTCATACACATAGTTCCCTTTATTATCTTAAAGAGAGCAAGAACAATGATTGGTGCAGAATAATAAATGGATTCATTTTATTTCGTTAGGTTCTCATCAGCTGCTTACGATCTAAAATATTTGAAAATCAACGTTTATACAGATATTGACATAACTATACATAAAAGGGTGATGAAAGATGAATAAATGTATCATGGTGTAGCGAACATTCCGATAGAGTTAATGAGGTCATAAAATTTTGTCTCGAATAAATAGTTTGATAGTCAGTCAGTCAGTAACAACGTAGAACTTCGTACGTACGTACATCAGTACGAGTTGCCACACCACATTAGCACAGAGATGCAGTTGTCGATTCAAATCCCGTAGTGCTAGATGTAGTAAAATTATAAGCTGTAATCAGAAAAATTAGGGTTTGAAGATGTTATTTAAAGAGAATAATCCAGTGAAATAAATTTAGAAAGAGAATAAAGAAAGGGATATGAAGAATTCAGAAGACTAGAATTTGGGAGAACACAGAGAGTGGATGCACCTGCGCCATTGCAAACGATTTTGACCCAAATCATTCAGCGTCTCTAAATATCGGTTGCTATCATTTCGCGGTCCCCAACCAGGTAGTCTACACCTACCAACATGACTCAATCCACTTGTCAGTGACTTCATGGGTTTGTGCCATGTTTTGGTTTGGCCGCCCCTAGCTTTCTTCCAACCTACTCCTATACCACTGAACATAGCACGTCGAGGCAGTCGGTCGTTGGGCATACGTAACACGTGTCCCAGCCATCTGAACTGATGAAGTTTCACTACTTCATCAATTGATTTACCATCCTTACCTAGTACCCGTTTCCTAACAACTACATTACTTACTCGATGGTCCCAGGATATACGAGCAATGTTTCGAAGACACCTGGTCGGGCTTGACTATCGTGATGACCCAACCGAGCTATATTGGCTGGAACATATGTTCCTGTAGTTTCTACCATGCCAGGCAGGTCGATTGGAGAACGGTAAGACTAAAAGCAGCAACTCAAGGTCTGAGGGCGAAGTCGTACTGCTGACTGTAGAGAGGTGTGACAGCAGTAAGGTGTTTCCCTCGGACAACCAGCATCTGCAGCGATGCTGCCTTCCCACAAGGAGGGGTGGGGTTAGAAAAGGTCGACCCTAAAAATGTCACACCTCACCTTACCTCACGGATTTCCGTCTCCGGCGGTAAGGCCCTTTGAAGAACGGAGCTAACACAATAAAAACCTTCCACAAAAAGGCCGTGCGCGACCGGCCTCAAGCAGTTGTCCCTTGGGCTCTGCGGTCACGCTCCCAGGTCGTCAAGACCAACACTAATCCAATTTCCTTTTCAGGTTCCTCAAGAAATACCCTTCCACGGTGTGGGCAGCCGGGAAGTGATATCAGCCCTCATACCCGTAACAGCACACGAGACCAAGTTGGTCACATTCAAATCCTTCCTACACCTCCTAATACCTCTCTTATCTCCATGACTAACCCTCCTCACGTCTCTTTATCACCTCGCACCGCTAGGGCAAACGATTCGAGTACGCGGAACGCTATTCCTGGTCTCCTGAAACCACGCTCTAAACTACACGTAGGAGCTTTTAACGTACGAACACTGGCCAAATAGGACAGCAGGCTTCCTTAGCTAGGACTTTAGAATCTCGCGCCATCGATGTGTGCTGCGTCTCCGAAACGCGCATACAGGATCCGAGTAGCGTCATTCATTTGACCTCACCATGCCAAAATAAAGAACCGACTCGATTCACACTTCGTGTATCTGGAAGCCCTGATTCTGCTTCCCGTGGCCTCGCCGGCGTAGGTATAGCATTGAGTCCTAGGGCAGAACTAGCTCTCTTAGAGTGGATCCCAGTAGACAGTCGTTTGTGCGCTGTCCGACTGAACGGAACAGTAAGGATCCGAAAAGATAGGGACACTCGTCGTTGCCTCTTCGTCGTCTCTGCCTATTCTCCCACTGACTGCAGCTCAGATGATGTAAAAGATGAGTTTTACAGAAAGCTTTCGGACCTTCTCCGAAAAGCTAGGCGTTCGGATGTAGTAATAGTGGCCGGTGACTTTAATGCTCAAGTAGGTAAACTAAGCGATAGGGAAAGACACCTAGGTGGATCTTATGGTCGTGGCTCAAAGAACAGATAATGGCGACCGTCTGTTGCAGCTATGCTCAGATAACCGCCTGTTCCTTGCAAATACTAACTTTAAGCATAAGGAAAAACATCTTTTAACATGGCGACCCCCTAATTCGTCCCAACGTTGGACCCAAATAGATCACATCGCTATCAGCCACCGATGGAGGGGCTCGATAGAAGACTGTCGCTCATTCTGGAGCACATGCCTAGATTCAGATCATGCTCTAGTGCGAGCGCGTATTTGCTTGCGTCTTACTGGACGTAGGAAAGACGCTGCAAGGAAACCTCTTAGGGCCTACTTAATGATAGTCAAGCTAAGAGTATATTTCAGGAACAACTAGGAAAACAGTTAGGCAGCCATGTATGTGATGCCCACCCCGAGGCAGCATGGAATGATATCCGAAAAGCTGTGGAAACAGCAGTGATATCTGCTAGTAAGGTAAACCGTAAGGTTAGGGAGCAACACTGGATCTCAGCAGCATCTATCGCACTGATAGATGCTCGGAAACTCATTCCACCTGGCTCTGAACATAATGAAGAGCGGAGTCAGCTTAAGCGCAAGCTGACAAGAAGTCTACGCAATGATCGTGAACAGTGGTGGGTAGCGAAAGCAAGAGAGATGGAAAAGGCAGCGGCAATAGGTAATAGCAGACAATTGTTCAGACTCGTTAAGGAAACCGACTGTTAGCGAAACAATCTCAGAGAAAGATGGACATATTATACATTCTCAATCCAGGAGATTGGATCGATGGGCAGAACACTTTAGGGATCAGTTCAACTGGCCTTCAGCCACACTTCGGTTTCCCACGATCTCCAGTCAACCTGAATGGCAAGTTAATGTAGGTCCTCCGCTCTTTACGAAGTTGAAAAAGCCATAGGAAATCTGAAACGAGGGAGAGCAGCAGGCCCTGACAGGTTTACTCCTGAGATTTTTAAGGATGGTGGTCCAGTATTAGCAATGAGATTAACTGAGGTCTTAGGTAGAATTTGGGAACTGGACGTAATCCCATCTGACTGGTCTCAATCACTGATTGTGCCAGTCTATAAGAAAGGACAAAAGTCCTCTTGTGACAATCACAGAGGAATCAGTTTGACTAATATAGTGTCTAAAATATTAGCTTCAATAATACTTCGACGCCTAACAAAGCTCGTGAAGAGCAGACTAGAGAAAACCAGGCTGGTTTTCGACCTGGACGTGGTTGTATAGATCAGATATTCACACTACGTCAGGTTCTAGAACACAGACACACATTCAGACGCCCCACAATGGTAGTATTTCTCGACCTTAAGGCGGCATTCGACTCTGTTGATCGTGAGGTTCTATGGCAGTGTTTGTCACTGAAAGGAGTACCAAAGAAGTACATTAACCTTATAAAGGCTCTCTACTCGAACACAACTGGTAGAGTGAGAGCTTATGGCGAACTGTCATCAGAATTGATTACCTCAAGTGGTGTTCGTCAGGGCTGTCCACTCTCCCCATTCTTGTTCAACTTTGTCGTTGACGTACTTTTAGAGATAACACTTTCCTCATCTAAATTTCCAGGGGTTGAACTTCTACCGGGAGGTTCACTTGTTGACTTAGAATATGCTGATGACATAGTTTTATTTGGTGAAGACGCTGACAAAATGCAGAGTCTTCTGACCACTCTAAGCAACAATGCAAGCATGTTCGGGATGCGATTCTCTCCCTCGAAATGCAAAATGTTGCTTCAGGATTGGGTTACATCGACACCCGAACTAATGATAGGGAGTGAAGTAGTTGAGTGTGTCGACCGCTTCACTTATCTTGGAAGTCTCATCAGCCCTTGTGGTCTGGTGTGTGACGAAATCTCAGCACGGATACAGAAGGCTCGACTAGCTTTTGCCAACTTGCGTCATTTATGGCGTAGGCGAGATATCCGTCTATCAACCAAAGGACGTGTTTACTGCGCAGCAGTTCGTTCCGTCCTACTTTATGGCAGTGAAACATGGCCGGTAAGAGTAGAGGATATTCGTAGGTTACTAGTATTTGATCATAGGTGTCTTCGAAATATTGCTCGTATATCATGGGACCATCGAGTAAGTAATGTAGTTGTTAGGAAACGGGTACTAGGTAAGGATGGCAAATCAATTGATGAAGTAGTGAAACTTCATCAGTTGAGATGGCTGGGACACGTGTTACGTATGCCCAACGACCGACTGCCTCGACGTGCTATGTTCAGTGGTATAGGAGTAGGTTGGAAGAAAGCTAGGGGCGGCCAAACCAAAACATGGCACAAGTCCATGAAGTCACTGACAAGTGGATTGAGTCATGTTGGTAGGTGTAGACTACCTGGTTGGGGACCGCGAGATGATAGCAACCGATGGTTAGAGACCCTGAATGACATGGCTCAAAATCGTTTGCAATGGCGCAGGTGCATCCACTCTCTGTGTTCTCCCAAATTCTAATCTTCTGAATTCTTCATGTCCCTTTTTTTATTCTCTTTCCAAATTTATTTCACTGGATTATTCTCTTTAAATAACATCTTCAAACCCTAATTTTTCTGATTACAGCTTATAATTTTACTACATCTAGCACTACGGGATTTGAATCGACACTTGCATCTCTGTGCTAATGTGGTGTGGCAACTCGTACTGATGTACGTACGTACGAAGTTCTATGTTGTTACTGACTGACTGACTGACTGACTGACTATTGTTACCGGAGTAAAGAAAGATTCATTACATTTCACAACCTCCCATTTATATACTTTGGATAGATATTTGATATTCCTGATTTTCAGTGTTTTATATGATCATGATAATGAGTAAACTTTGAAATAAACTTATTGTAAGCTAGAATTCAAGGAATCATTGTTTGAATGTCTCGATATATATATATATATATATATATATATATATATATATATATATATATATATATATTCATTGTTGGTTTTCTTCAGGTGTGGGTACATTTTCATCCATAAATCAAGAACTAATCATTAATTTTTCTTATTAGTTATAATAATAAGTTAAGTGGATGAAGAAAACTTTTAGAGGAGAAAAATTTAATTCACTTTTCGTTTGTTTGTTTTTTTTTTTTTTTGTTCTAAAGAAACAATGTTTAGTTTTGTTTTTACAGTGGACACATAAATATCGACTCAATCATTTAAATGATTTTAATTATGAAATTACTAAATATGGAATTTTCCTGATAAATAAAGACATTGAATCAGTTCAGTTTTATTAGATTATAAATTTTTAATTATACAATCAACTTCAGTTAGTATGATTAATAATATGTCTTTAGTGAGACTATCGCAAAACGATAATTTTTTCTCTAACTAGAAGACTAGGAGAAGTGTTCTACTAGTCTTCAATTACTCTGCAGTTGTCCACTGCACATTAACAATATGAACAAGTGTTTTACATAGAAAGTCATAAATTAGTTGTTTCGACAACATAAACCTTCAGTGACTAATGTGCTACACATATCTAGTCACTATTTGTGCCCCCCCTTCCATCAGTGCTGACCAACATCAGACTGAATTGATAAAAAAGTTATTCAATAAAACTACATTTTGCCTAGATGGTTTTCTGAATAGATTGTAATATAACACTAAGTCTACTCACAGAAACTAACTTAGTATACATACTGATACTTAACGCACGAAAACCAATGTAAAGGTTTAAGTTCACTATATAAATGACATTATTATACGCTTTAAAAATATTCAAACTGAGACTTTTTTCATCATTCAATCACTGCGAATTTTATGTGTCATTTATCTGAAAAATGTAAACAGAAATAGATGAAGGCAATAACAATTTACTTCTAATTTTATTAACTGACAAAACTAAATTTAGGTATAAATACATAAGTATGTAACTGAAATAACATAAATTATTTTGTCTAAATTGTTATATAAACAACAGAAATTGATTTAAAATCTTCTTGCACTGAACATTACGCTATTGCAGCAAATTTTACTGTAAACCTATTTCAATATATCTGTAGATTTATGTCGAAAAATCTATTTCTCTTAAAACAAATTGTATTGTGAATTTCTTTTGTAGGCTGCTTTATCACCAAGTTGTCGCACTACTAATAATAGTAATAATCCATACCCTGTAAGGTCTGGTTCATCAACACTTTCTAAATCTGAAGCTAATTTATCTTCAACTGTTCCTAAACATAGTTCAACTAAACGATTATCCGCTACTCCTAAACGTGACAGAAATGGATTAGTCGCTGCTTCATTGGACAATTTTCCATCATCAAAACCTAATTCTCGTTTGAATTCTGCTAAATCTAAACCACATCCATCGGCCATTACACGTGGTAGTGGTGATGGTGAAGCTGTGGAACCAAATACTGAACCTGACTGTGATAGCTCTTCTTTCCGTGAGACAAAAGCTCGTGTAACTCATAATCGTCCTGTCAATGGTAGGTCTGTTGTTAATAATCTGGCTGGTCGTAATCCACTTCCTTCTGGAATTAGTTTGTCATGTAAGTTAATAGCTCTTAACTATATATATATATACACACAACAGGTAGAATGTAGAAATTTGATTCTATGTAGCGATAAAAGTTTTCTTTACTGAGGGTTTTTAAAGCGGATGTTAAATGACCGCTTGATTGTTCACAATAAAAATTGTTTCTAAAGTTATTCATATTTGTTGAACAACTTGTAAGTAGACATTTTCACATTGGCTAAAGTTATGTCATTCTCATGATCCTAATAATTGCCTGCACAATAGTCGTTTTTTCAGCAATGTGAGCTACTTCTTTCGTTATTATTTATATAATACTCTTAGCTTTTCTTTATTCAGTTTATTAGAAAACTACCGATATATCCAATGGGAACTATACTCACCCAATTCAAGCTACTGAAATCGAACCCAATTAATCATGCAATGTGAATTCACTTAGGTTTATGAAAGTTTTCAATTATTCCTATATTTTGTAGCTCTTCACTGTCAATGGAAATTTAATGTCTAGAATAGGTTTTTTCAGTATATCAGTTAATAGATAAACCATCTATAGCTCTGAGAACACAACACCTACCGAAATTTCCCTACAATTCACCACAAGCTTTGTTTTGTTATTCGTTGTTTCTAAAACCAATCCTTTATTTCACTTAAATTACTAAAGACAAGTCGTTTCTGTTATATTACGAAAAATAAAATTCCAAAAATTAGTGGATATTTGACCCATATATCTATTAATCGTTCGACATTCAATGATTCTAAACAAAATCCTCTTATAAATATTATCAGTCACGTAAACCCACTTCTTTTTTTAAAAAAAGGACATACTTTTTTATTTTATTGAATTCTCCAGCATTACATCGACTTGGCGCTTTAGAATCTCCATCTAGTGGTCCTGGTGTACCCGTTCAATGTTTAAATCAGCCACGTTTATTTGTGAAACCCAAAGCGAAGTCCAATCGAACTGTAGTAGTTAATGCAATTAGTCACTGTTGTTTAGCTGGAACTGTCAATGAACCTACCAAACAGCTTGCTCTTAAAGTTTGTTTTACTTTTTTCAACTATATTACAATTTTTTCTCTCAGTATTTAAATGATGAACTGATCTGTTTTAGAACACCGCTTGTTAATTTTTGACTTTGGTGAATGAAGTTGTATTTTAAACCTTTTACAACTCGGATTTCTTTGGTTTTTGTCACTAATTCATTATCATTTCAGATCATCTAAAACACTCCATACACTAGCAAATGTCTCATTTAATATGTTATTTGTCCTTTTTTAAGTGATTAAAGGTAATCAGCATGAAATCCTAGACCTAAGGTCAGTTTTAATTGACATTCATCAACAAAGTATACTCATTATAAGTTCCTTTCTGACCACCTCCAATTACTTAACATCTGAACACGTGATGCTGTGTCACTTAGGTTAATGGTCACGTTGCAACTTGATCTATAGCATTTGATCACTACTTAAGAACCAAACAAACATTGATGGAAATGATTAAATTCTAAGTTTATTTTTGACCACGAAAAGGAAACTAGCTGAAAAGAATAAAGCTGATTCATAACCGGGAACTGTTCGGTGACGGCTTTGAACTTAGTTTAGGTCTCTGATAGAACACATCCTTTATCGATTAACTTAGAGGCGCAAAATCAAGACGTAGCATCATTTCATGAAGTTATCGTTCATTGAACTGAATCCTCTCGATAGATCCAGACTGTATAGTTGGAGTCCGCACGATTATCGTAACCACTGCCTAGAGTTTTTTAACTCATGTGTCTTTTCCCAAATTCTTGACCGTCAAAATAATTATATGTCTCAAAGATTTTTGTGGTAAACAAAGGAAATACGATTTATTTATATAGCTATTATCTAGAGATGTTTACAAGTTGGGTTAACTTTCGCTAAGTTTTGCGAATTGTGTTGTAGTCATAGTTATAGTCGGGTTGTCGATGTGCAAGCACATCGCACAGTTAATTGTCCTACACCTGTGGCCTATAAGTGTATTGAGCGTGTACGATTTCTTAATGTTTAATAACAGATGTCTGCAACTATTCCTGCCATATCACGGAATCGCCGAGTAGGGTTAAGTATGTGATACTAATTCGTAATTGTAACTTTCTGAGACTGAAGATCTTCGTCAATTAAAGCGGATGAGATGTAACACATTTAATTTCAACACATAATATATGTTTACTTCTTTCATAAATGAAGACTTACATATGTAATCAATGATCAAATTTTTACGTAATTTCATTGGTGTCTTCATAAGGATAATTGTTGCCATATATGTACGCGTATACTTCCTTACACTTTTGTGTTTGCCTTATAGGAGTTGGCTGCCACTGAAGGTACACATTTTATGATATTGTTTCGTGATTCTCGATGTCAGTATCGAGCTGTGTATTCCTTCGATTTAGAATCAGAAGAATTAAAAATTATTTGTGGCAATGGGCCAAGACGAATTACACACGAAATGGTCAATCGATTTTTTAAGTAAGTTTTATGTTCATCGTCATCTTCACAATCAAAGTTTTTTCTCTGATCAGGCTGTTTAAAGGACGATACTTTTTGGATTTTTTTAATTAAAATATTTTGCTCAAGCTTACTTTTGAAATGATACGAGATTTTTGTTTGTCGTTTATATTTCTATTAACCGACTTAGAATAATATTTGGTTTTTACTCGTATATATAACTTATGCTAGTAGTTTGATCATTACTATATCACGTTATTGTGTTCAACCGTGTATGGTCTATCAAATGAAGTTTTCTATAATAAAGTGAATAAAATTAATACCGTACCACTGGTTATTAATGGTAAATATTTCGGTATAAAAATCTTCAACGTTTGGCATAATCCACAATTTCATTAATTAGTATTATAATAAATCATATTATTTCTTCTTGACATATGCAATTTTCCATGCTCATTTTATTAAGTATTCGTTTGTTATATAGATATATATATATAATCAGCAATCCTGTATGTGGGATTCGAACTCGGGACCTTCCGTCTCGCACTCCTACGCTTAACCTCTAGACCATGAACTGTCATCTGGTGATGTTAATGTCTAACTAGGACGAAACGACCGTTCACTGCTTACAAGTTTTCAATAGTGGTCTAACATTGATCGATTCATGATCTCGATTAAAAATCTTAGCAATCTCCACAAACTCATACTGATATATATATATATATATATATATATATATATATATATATATATATATATATATATTCTATGTTTTAACGCTGCTTTATTTCTTTACAGATATAATAGTGGTTCAAAACAATTCACTGAAATCACTTCTACAAAACACTTAAGTCCTGTTGTAGACGCTATAACAATTCATGATGCTCTATGGAGTAAATCATCCGGTGGCGGTACACATACAATTTTATCAAGTCATTGTACCTGAATGAATGCTCATAGTCTGATATTAATTTTCCTTATAAACAATAAGAGATAAAGAGCGATAACGTGTATGTTTATGTGTGTGTATGTGTGATAACTTTATATTTCTCATTATTCAATTATTTCCCATAAAATTAATTTTGGTTCTGGCACTTACTGTAATTCATACTGAAATGTTTACTTGTTTATGCGTGCGCGTGTGTGTGTATGTGTGTTCATTACTTTGTCTATAATGTATTCTGACGATAGAAAAATTAAAAAGAAACTAAAACATGGACTAGGAATACTTGTCAAATTTTATGTTCAATTTTTATCAGATAAATATTTTTTTTCCTTCTATTATTTCCTATTGATTATTACATATAATTTCTCACTGTTATTCCCATGGAATATATATATATATATATGTGCTTATATTTAAGAGAAGTCCTGTATCATTATTCATTCATTCATTCAAATAAATTATTCACTGTTTATCAGACTGATATTACTTATTGATCAATGAATAATTTAACTAGACCGAGTTTGTTTGTTTTTCATTGTTCTATGATGAATGTGATGTTTTGTTTTGTTTTTTTTCAATTTAATGAAGATTAGTTTACTTATCAAAGTCTTTATTCAAATCATAATAAATACATTAGTTATTGTTCTTATGAATACTTTTTGTTTTGTTTTTATTTACTGATGGTTGGTTGGTAAATAAAATGGACTGTTGCATTTCGTTGCCTTTTTCTTTTTTCATTTAATGTGAATGTACTCGAGTTAATTTTGTGTATCTTATATTTCAAAGAGAAAAAAACTCCAACTTTTTCTCTTCCCATTTAAAAAAAAAACAAAAATAAATAAATTGTAATTCCTATAAATTAACTTGTAACTGGATTCTGAAATGGTTATATTTTTTTAATTAACCAATGGTGAAATTGATTACTGTTACTATTCATACTATTCTAACAGTTGTGATATATGAATTGAATATATATGGCTTTTCATAAACTGTGAATTATATATATATATATATATATATATATATATATATATATATATATATATATATATATATATATATATATATATATATATTCGGCACATTTGTATATTTACCGTATTTAAAATGTCTATACATAAATACTCTCTCACCTTTATTGTTCCAACCTTCATTGGCTTTTTTTCTGTCAGTATAATACAAGTATATTTAAAGTAATAAAAAAAAACAAGAGAAAGAATATTTATTGATGTGTTTTGATGTTCAATGGAAACTTTCAGCTATTATCCGTGTATTCTTTTATGATCTCTTTGGTTTTAGTAATTCGTATTAGTGATAGTTTGTGCTTTTCATTTTAGGTGTTTACATGAATATTAAACACGAAAAGATAATGCCTCCTTCAAATTTTCATTTTTCTGTCGTTCCTTTTCCACTCTTTGTTTATAAATATCCTTTATGGACGTGAAGAATTCGTCATAATCATATTCTTATTGAATTCAATGAATTTGCATCAGTTGTGTTAAACATTGTGATTGCATAACAGGTACTTCATAAGATTTTCGCATTAACCGGTTGGTTTTATGTGTATGTATGTAATAACTGTTTCACATGTAATTATGCTCTATTTATGAAAAGATTTATCTGTCCAAATATTTCAGTTAATTTGGTGGATGAGCTTTTTATTGAGAGTGTACTTGTTTTTCACTAGATTTCGGCATTTATACACTTACGTTAGTTCAGAGTGTTGTATATCGTTCATCTATTATGCTGATTCACTCTTGTACAGATCTACAGATAATATTCTAACAGTGGCTTGATGCACAACTCCAGGACAACATTCAACAGTTTGCATGGTGTATGTAATAATAGTTTCAGAGTAATGGGACGTAAAACCCATGGCTCTATGCGTGCGGGTCACGCTATTTTTATAGGCATGATTTACGACATGGGTTTAAAAATAATTTGCTATTCAAGTAGAAAGGCGAAATCAGTAGAACTATACGACATGATATTCATGCAGATTCACGAACTAGATATTAAGTAGGTTTTTTTTGTTAGAACTGTACAATTAATTTACAGTTATAATAATTTACTTAGAAATACAACCTCATACGAATTGTCACTTTGGTGAGTGTACGTATGTTCCAGGTTTGAGTAGAAGCTCCATAATTATGTGTTCCAATCATGATGATATATTCTTGAGTCCTTCAAAAACAAGGTCAGGTGCTGGAGATGAGATACGTTGTCCGGAAATGCGATCAAGCAGTCATCAACATACGGGTGCATGAAATTGAGACCCATAAATATGTTATTGACGAATTTCTGAAAGGGTTGTGCAGCATTTCTCAGTTCGAAAGCTGTGCATAGAAATTCCTCGAGTCCAAAGGAAGTAATGATGGTTCAGAGAAAAAAAATACTTCACCTTAATCAACCACGTGAGCTACAGATCTTCAGCACCTGATATTAGTTGTGCGGAGATGTACAAATACTTATTTATGCCTATATATCACTACCCCTTAAAAATTCATTTTTTAGCAAGTCAAACGTACTTGTCCTTCTGGTCACTTCTAGTTGCCATCGATTGACGTCATTTGTCTGCATCTGATTGGTTCACCATATCAGAATGTCTTGACAGATGTCTTCAGTAATAAGGATAGGAGGTTCATCGACCTACTGCTTAAATTCCAAATGTGGTCTCACGAAATTCGAGTACAATACTCTAAACGTTTCTTCATCTAAGTGCTGAAAAGACCTACGGATAGCCCATAATACCCTAAAGCCTTTGGCAGAAGCCTTTCAGTTGCTCGCAGTTTTGAGGTCATTGCTTATCATGACACCTAAATCTTTATAGTCCATTACTTTAGGTAACACAACTGCACATACTGGTAGTGATATGAATCGTCATAGTTATTTAACTGCATCACCATACTTGTTAGAATTTATTTTTAGTGACCATCAACCCATCCATACCACCAATGAGTTGAGAGCATCCTGTAATACTATTCTATCTGATATACTGTGTACGGGTCTCCAAATCTTTTAGTCGTCGGCGAAGAGTGGAACGGATGAATTTGCTACAGTTTGTAATTCATTTACGTAAGGTAAAAAGAGAAGTGGACCGAGGATTGTGCCTTGGAGGACTCTACTTTCTATAGGTTCCCATGATGAGAGAACTCCATTTGCCCTTACCGTTTGCCTCCTGTCATCGAGAAAGTTACTTATCTAGTCTATGACTGTATAATGGGTTCCAAAACTTCCCAGTTTGAATTTAGAACCGGAATGGAGGACCTTATTGAAGGCGTTACTTATGTTGGGGACGTTAGATCCCCAGAACTCACTTGGAATATGACCCAATTTTGTAGTTTTATTTAGAAAATTTGAATTTCTTCGTTTAGTATGCTATTTTGTAACTCTCCCGAAGGACGGATTAGTGCTGTATATATACGTATTGATTTGTGTCCGTTGCTAAAGCTTGTTTTCTGGCTGTTTGCGGAATATAGTGCCTCATTTCGAGCATGGACTTCTTCCTCTAGTTAGCGGGGCTGGGACGCGTCAAATAGCTAGCTTATTGGTCTTTGGTCACCGAGTCTTTGTTCCGTTCGCAGAAAATAATAACCACTGGAGCCTAGGGTAATAACCACCAAGCCAGGGTACATGCAGTCCAGCACGAAGCCAGGTGCATGCCATATTTAACCACTGGAGCCTAGGGTAATAACCACCAGGCCAGGGTACATACAGCCCAGCAAGAAGCCAGGTGCATGCATCATTATATATTTTTGGGTTATGATAATGATCCTTCCGCAGGTTCACCTACGGAAACCTTGTTACGACTTTTACTTCCTCTAAATAGTCAAATTAGGTCATCTCAGCATCAGTCGAGCGGCAACGACCTCACTAAACCATTCAATCGGTAGTAGCGACGGGCGGTGTGTACAAAGGGCAGGGACGTAATCAGCGCAAGCTTATGACTTGCACTTACCAGGAATTCCTCGTTCACGGGGAATAATTGCAAGCCCCGATCCCAGTCACGACGGTGATGAAACAGTTTGTCTAACCCTTTCGGGCCAGGTTCTTAGACTCGCTGGCACCGTCATTGTGGCGCACGTGTGGCCCCGGACATCTAAGGGCATCACAGACCTGTTATTGCTCAATTTCGTGCAACTTGAGTGTGCCGCTTGTCCCTCTAAGAAGTAAAAACTGGCACCGCACCCGCCGGATCACGACCACACTGCTCCATAAAGAAGCAATAGAACCCGCGCCATAAACGAGCACAGAGGACTAGTCTACTATTTAGCAGGTTAAAGTCTCGTTCGTTATCGGAATTAACCAGACATATCGCTCCACCAACTAAGAACGGCCATGCACCATCACCCACCGAATCAAGAAAGAGCTGTCAATCCTCACAGTGTCCGGGCCGGGTGAGTTTTCCCGTGTTGAATCGAATTAATCCACAGGCTCCAATCCTGGTGGTGCCCTTCCGTCAATTTCTTTAAGTTTCAGCTTTGCAACCATACTCCCCCTGGAGCCCAAAGACTTAAAGGTTTCCCGGGGACTGCCCGCGATGTCAATTATAGAACCAACGCGGATCGTCAGGTGACATTGTTTATGGTCAAAATTACGACGGTATCTGATCGTCTTCGAAACTCAGACTCGTAACCGCTTCAAACCTAGCTAGTTTGGTGACGAAGTCGGAGCAAACACGGACCCTTCAAAAGTAGAATTATTGCTCAAGCAGCACCTAAAACTAATGTTAATGTTAGCAGATACAAAGCTTACGCCTAACACGCAACTAAGCATTTCTAATACTACTACTACTGCACCGTCAGTTGATTGTATTGCGAATAGTATCTCAGTTTCATTATGACCCTGATTCCAATGTCACATTTGATATGTGGTTTCGACGTTATGAAGACTTATTCGAATTTGACTTCGCTAATCAGGATGATGCTTGGAATGTCCCCTTGCTGCTTTGGAAACTAGGTCCTAGTGAATTAGATAGATATTGCAACTTAATTCTGCCTCTAAACCCACGTGACCGCTCATTCTCGGACACTGTCCAGTCATTGAACACAGTTTCGAGAAAACTTCACTGTTCAACGCACGTTATCGATGATTGAAGCTGACTATAAAAGAAGATGCTGATTTTCTCACATATGTGGGTATCGTCAACCGAGAATGCGAATGCTTTCGGTTGAAGCCGCTTACTGAAGACCAATTCAAAGCCCTTATTCTCATCTGCAGCCTTCGATCGCAGAAGTTCAGTAACACTAAAACACGCTTGCTAAGTCGATTGGACCAAGACCCGAAACTAGCTCTTAATGATATTGCAAACGAATATCAACGTCTAATCAATCTGAAGCGTGACACTACGATGGTCCAGCG